GCTACACGACCTCCTCATCCTACGCATTCACCGACGATTGATTCAACTTGGCTTTTTTCTTCAATGAACCATTAACATTGATGATGATGAATACTTGAATTGAAACCTTATATCATTCGATTGCATTTGTCACACAACGTCCAACAAGCCAATCATAGATATAATACGTTTTGTGCATGTAATCACATACGCTTCCAAACTATCGACCTTGGTCATGATGACTGAATTGCACTGCATGCATTTGGCCTTCAGGATCTTTTGATTGCATATAGCAAACTTGCTGGAATCAAATAGACTCTATATAGGATATCGAGATCGACTGCCGAGTGTAGACGTTGACTTGTTAGACATGATATGTGGCAAATGATCTGATCTGAAATCTGAAAATGCAATTGAAATCCAAAAAATGTAATTGAAATCCACAAGAAATCTCAATTGCTAGAGTTCACAATCTCACTGTAGAATCTGTACAAAATTGCAATGGCTAGAGTTTGCAATCTTGATGATGCATTTTCATTGTCAATTACAAGTAAAAATTGATTAATTCGGATCAATCCACACTCACAGTGTGTGGATTTTGCCCGAGCTACCTTTCATAGTGTTTTCCATAAAATTTATACCTTCGAGCTTAATCCTTCGGTTGAGCTTATTCCTTCGATCTCATAATGGTGCTGGTAAGATTAGACACGTGTCAAGATAAGAATATAAAGCGAGAAAATTAAGCATCTCAACCATTAGATCATTCTACAAATTCAAATGTGTCTAATACTATATACTGTCTAACCTTGATAATGTCACCCTTGTTAATTGAACACCTTGATATTGTCACCTAAAAGTTTGAAACTAATTTTCCTAGTGTAAAACTTCCTTGTTATTATCACCATCATTCTTGATAATGTCACTATTTTTTTCCAAAATTTGTAGTGTAAGTGTGATAATATCAAGTATGAATGCATTGTATGTGACAATTGGATGGACAAATTGTAGTAGCAAAAAGGTCATGAGCCACCCCTGTGATAAATGAAATGCTATTTAGAGTATCATGAGCCATACCCTTGCACCAATCTTGAACAGTGTTGATGATTCATAATTTCAGTTTCGTGACCATTTGTTGGCTCAACATTGTGTCTTTTTCATTTATCTAAGATATGAGTCCTCACACTATGTTGCATCCAAAGAAAGACGTAGTGTTTCACAATCGTAGACAGTTTTCATTGCTTAGGTACTTAGTTTGATACATCTTGTTGTTGCTTTGATCTTACACAAAATTAAGACGGAGTTTTTGACGAGGCTTGCTTCGATCAGTAGTGTTCAAACTTGCTTCACTCCCGGCACTTGCAGTCGAAGCAACAAGAAGGTCAACTTGAGGGAACATGCATCTCTAGCATTCGAAGGCCCTGCGTGAACAGACACACTATCGCAACTACACCAGGTGAGGGCTGAAACTCACTCTCAACTCTAACTTATTATGTGTACTATTTGTGCAAGGAATTTCAGTTCTTTTTTGGATCATGAGCATGATGAAAGCACATCACTAGGATGTTATTTGGATTGATGGTGTTGATAGTTTTGGTTTCTGTTGCTTCTGGTCGGCTTGACCCAGTTTGAAGTTTGTGGTTTCAAGCTCGTTTCTTTGATGTGGAAGCTCAATTTCTTGTGTGAAGATGGTTGTTTGGAATATGGTTATGGGGATGAGTGTGCTTCTGGATGAGTAGGAGTATTGTGTGGTTTTGATTCATGTTTTCTTGTTGTGCTTGGTGATTACAATTCAGTTTAAAGTTCCATATTTCAGAATTTTTGAAGGAGGTTAATCGATGTGTTCTATGGAGATCGCTTTCATGGTCTTTGAGCATCGGCATGTTGGTGCATTTGTAGAAGATTGGCCTAAGTTCTGAGTTCTCAATTTTGATAGGCCAATCAGCAAGGATATCAAAATCCTCGCAATCACGCACTTGCCTCTGCCTAAACAACTAGCGATCAAACCTCGGCATTTACTTGGCATCTACGGTGCGTTATCTGTTTTGGTTTCATTTGTGATGACACATGAATAAAGTTATTGCTCAAACAATTGAATGCACCAGTTTTGCTCAATTATCATGATGATTTATATTAAGTGCTCATTTTGTGGAATGGTTTGGCAGATACAAGTACTTCCAATGGCAAGTAAATCCACGTGCAAAATGGTGGATTTATCAACCTCTATTAAGAAGAAAATCTGTGAAGTCCACAAAGCTCATCCTAGTTTGAAACAAGAAGAACTCGCACACTATATGGTGGACCAACATAAATTCAGGCTTGTGAATGGGACCGCTATTTCCAAGATTCTTCGTAGAAAAGAGAAGTGATCGAGTGTGAATACATCTGTGCGTGAAGGCAATGTGCAACGTGCTCGAGTTGGAAAATGACCTCAGCTTGAAAAAGCTTTGGTTTTATGGTTTGGACAAGTTAGGGCACGAAGGGGAGTTGTAATTGATGACGTCATTATGCACAAGGCTATGGAATTGAGGGATTCATTTGGCATATGCGACACTCAGTTCAAACTTTCTTATGGGTGGTTGCAAAATTTCAAAACTCGCCATGGAATTAAGTGTTATTATTTGCATGGAGAAAGTGAAGATGCAAATGAGGTTGGAGTTGCATTAGCCTTGGCAAAGATCCCATTCATATTGAAGAATATGATCCAAAAGACATTTTCAATTCCAATGAAACATGTTTGTATTACAAAGCCTCTCCTAGCAAAACTTTGAAGATTGGAAAGGCAAAAGTATAAGAAGAATAAGAACATTATGACATGGTAGCTTTGCACTAACATCTCAAAGAATAAGCGATTGAAGCTTGTTTTTATTCACAAATCAATGCGTCCCAGATGCTTTCCTCAGAAGTTTGATCCAAATGGTATACTATATTATTATTCTAACAATTCAGCCCGGATGAATGGTGATGTTTATACACATTGGGTGAGGAGCGCGAACCAGAGAATGGCATTGGAAGATAGAAAGATTTGCATTATTATGTATAATGCAAGAAGCCATGATATTCATGGTGAGGTCAAGAAAGTTAAATATGAGTTTAATGCTTTTTTACTCTTCCATATCACTATCTTGTTACTTCCATCAAATGTGACGTCAATTGTTCACGCTTTGATCCAAGGAGTGATTGCAGCATTCAAAATGTGCTATAAGTGCAAGCTTGTTGCCTGGAATATGTAACAAATTGATAACTCAGATGAAGATTTGAAGAAACTTAATGTTGATATATTTCAAGCAATGTTATGGTGTGTGGTGGCAGGGCATGAATTAGATGATCGAACCATTAGAGATTGTTGAAGAAAGTCCGTCATATAAACTGCAGAATGGAATGCAGATATCAACAATTTTGATGAACGTATGAAGTCCAAAATAGAAAACGTAGCTTTGAAATTGGGCAATCTCATCGCCGCATTGAATTTGGATTTGAATGTTGAAGTCAAGCCTATAAAAAAAATTAGCCCTTTGGAGTACATAAACATTTTAGGTGAAGATGATTTTTGAGGTGAAGATGATTCTACTGAGGAGCTCGTGCAATTAGTGCAAGATGGCGAAGAGATACTTGATTCCATGGAAGAAGACTCAATTTTTGTTGATAGCAATGATGATGAGTATAAAGTAGTGAAGCTTAGCAAGGCACAAAAATATGCTGAGTATCTTTTGAATTTTATGGCTAGCCAAAGTTCTCAGATTTTCAACAACTCAAGAGTTGTTAGGAATGGAAACAAACCATGACAAACTCATTAGAATTGGTGTTGGACATTTAACATCACCGAAACAATGTGACATTAGAAACTTCATTGTTTCTAATGAGAGTATTCTACCGGATCTCAATGACACATTATGATGTGTTCTTGTTGTTCATTCACAGTTTTGAATTACATTTTACATTCAAAAACTTTGAAACTTTCCATTTGTTATTTTTTTTTTTTACATTGTAATTTTATTTTGATATTTTAACTATTTTTTTGATAATATCACATTATGCACAAATCTTCAAAATATAACATTATCAAAAATGTACACCTTGTTTATGGTGATGGTGAAACGGAGGATGTGATATTATCAAGATTAGAGTGTAATACAGTATGAAACTCACCAAATTTTGAAATTGGATATTAGACCTAACCCTAGTTATGGTACATTTGTGTGTGTACGCTCTCATTTCTCTGTGTACGGGCTATGTTGTGATACATTCGTGCGTGTGTGTACACTTTGTCTATGGACTGGGTGTGTTATGATACATGTGTGTGTGCGTTCTCGTTTCTATGTGGACGGACTATGTTGTGATACATTCGTGCGTGTGTGTACACTCTCGTTTGTCTATGGACTGGGTGTGTTATGATACATGTGTGTGCGTTCTCGTTTCTATGTGGACGGACTCTGTAGTGATACATTTGTATGTGTACTAGTTTGTCTATGGACGGGTTATGTTGTGATACATTTTTACGTGTACGTTCTGGTTTTCCATATGTATGTGATATGCCATATCAGCGAAATAGGTTATATCACGATACATATTTGCAAAACACTATTCATTTTAGTTTTGAGGTGAACCTATCGAAAATGTTGGATTCCACGGACTATTAAATTTGTTAACCTCGTGACATGTTGACAAGGAGATGACAATTTCGTTTTTTGAACCGAATGCGAACTTATACATTACTTGTTACAAACTCACCACATTTCACATTCTACTTACCATTACCGTGCTGCTGTACGTGAGGACTACGACTATTCTCACACTTGAGCGACCTTGCAACTTGGCTCTGAGCAGTGTGTGGAAGCGGGATCATCGCCTGACATTTCCCATCTCTAGATATTTCGCGTGGAACAGAGTGGTTTGTTTCTCGCACATTCTGTATTGAAGAATTAAATATTTGGGTGGAAGAACCTAGGTGAATCCAATACGCAGTTACTTTGTACCATGAAAAAACTTACATATTATTTCTAGATTCATATTAAATTACCCTTGTTTTGATGCGGTGGATGATCAAAGGGCAGATACTGTCTTGAGATAAAAACAATATCCAGTCTTTGTAGCAGAGGTAGTACTGTTGTACTGGACTTCGACACAATCAGGATAACTATGCAGACGCAGGAGATCTAGGACAAAATTGCTCCAAACAACCTGGTTTCACAGAATCTCATTACTGGACGTCCAGTGAACAAATAGGAAGCATACTCTTATGCAACGAGAAGATTCACCTTCTCGACTCCAGGCTACGGGGCATTCATGACTCGCAAAGAGGCAGTAAGATGCTCGTGGGCCAGAACAGTCAACTGCCTTTGCCGAAGACACATCTGAACGCCATGCTACAAAGGCTACGCCGACACTGTTCCTTGCAAGTGACTAAGTCATGAGAAAAGACTATTAATTTTAATGAGCAGTCTCCAGGAAACCAGGAAGGTTCCTTCCAGGTCGCACGACTTTCAAACGCCGTGTGACACAGCATGATTCATCTTACCAGTCAACCTACTGCTAAAACGACAGCAAGAACTTCTTGAAACATTTTGTCGGCAGCACATTACACAATCAACCGATTAGACAGATGGAGATGAAGTAGGAAAGTACAGTCAATCATGAGCCGGGCTTTTGAGACAATTATACTGATGCAATATGACCTTGTGATACGCACACAGCCTTGGCGGCTTGATGAAGTATTACAGAACTACGATCTACTCACATATTGCACAACTTGCCAAGGAACTTGAGCTCTAGGAGATGAGGCATGGAGTTAACTGTCGCTCAATCTCAATACCGATCAATTCCCCAAGTGATCTCTGCTCGACGTAGAGATAACCCTATCTATGTTACAAAGGATCCTTGTTGCCCTAAAAAACTTATCCGCCTGACACCCTTTTAACAAATATAAAACTCAAATTTACACGTCATGAAAAGATATCTCTATCTTGCAGAAGGTAAAAATCAGGGGACCCGGTGATACCCACCTGATAAAGACAGTAAAATATACCGAGGAACATAACAAACACCAGGGTCAATCTCGCTGGACTAAGCCCATCATTGAACCACAAAAATGCTTCTCCCATTTCCTCCTTCGAATCCGGGTCTAACTCTTTGAGCGACAGATTCAACTGCATTGTCGGACTTGCCAAGAGTCCGAAAAGTATACCCACGAGAATTGCTCCAAGATGAGTCCTACAAAAAGCAAATATATATATATTAAGCACGACCACATGATGAATTAAAAGACCGTCCAAACAAAAGAAGTGTGAAAAGAATCTGAACATGAACAACATAGGAGCTTCTGTTCTGTGATTTAAGATCCGAATATCTCTTCAATTCCTCAAAACAAGGGTGTTCAATGAATAGATTCTCAACGGACTCCATGATTCTAGTTTGAAGATCTTACCAATCATCAACAGGAAGAGAGTTCCAAAGTGCGACATTGAGTGCACTCAATATAATCACCTTCCGAATCATATCATCTGCAATTTCCTTTCCGATTGTTTCTCGGTTCTTCAGAAGATATACCAACCATGTACCTACAAGCGCATAGATTGGGCCCTGCAGAATACAAAATGACAAAATTGTCACGTTGCCTTCAGATGGACCACAGAAAGGCATGCTCGTTAATGCTTTCGAGTGCACGAGGGATTGATTATCGCATCAGCTGGAACACCAATCGAGCATGGTGTGTTTTAGTTCTAAGAATGACGCAAGTTTTTGAGCGAAGTATAGGAAAAGAGCACTCAAGTTAACTTTACTTACAGTTCCGCCGACTGTCCACTCAGTAGTATGGTAGAAACTCATCAAATCCCCAAAAATTCCTCCCAAGAAGTATATCATGGCAAATCCAAGAGTACCATAGGCGCTTTCGACTGCAGGTCCAAAAGAAAGGAGAGCCCAAGAGCCAAGACCAACGTGCAGCAGACTCGCATGCTGCAAAACGGAAACAAGCCTGTTGAAGTTCTCCACAGCAATATAACAAGAAAACTGTAAACTAATTTATTCCATTTAAGCACAGATGTAGAACAACGACAAGTTAGAGGACGTTACAGCATTCGTAGGGTTTGCAGCAACCGAGCCTGCTAAATTGTAAGAGTCTCACCAGAAACATGGGAGTTATTAATCTCCACCACTGACCAGCCACAATGAGATCGTTAACCTTCGCTCCATACACGAAAGGTAGAGAAGAATCGGTAATGCCGAAGGCTTCATGCGGGCTGGCCAAGCCGAATAGATACACAGCAATGTTGATAGCCACTAACACATTGCTGTCATGTTCAAAGCCATACCCCGAGTATTAGATTGAACTAAACAAAAAGAATGTGCCACCTATCCTAAACCGATCTGTGAAAAGCTGGAAAACTAACAACAAGTCTTTACTAATCTCCTTGGATTCATTCGAATGCGCGAAAGTAGAGATAAAGATGTAACGGACTTTCCAAAATACTACCAAAAATTCAGTCACGAAGAGACGATCGAAGAAAACATGTGACATCAAAGCATAGTTCAAGATGAAGATCTTACATGAGATCTGAACTAGTGACTTGTTCCTCATCCAGTTCCCAGTCTGACAAGTCCAACTCGTTCCCATCTTCATCGACACGCGTAGTTGCCTCGACTTTGAGGTCACCCTTGAACTTTACGTCCGAGCTTCTGGCTGAGGCTTTGTACTTGTCGTACTCCTCTTTGGCTTCTAACAAAGTCTTCAAAAACAGCTCTTCTTCTGTCAGGTCCTCAGGCTTCTCAGGCTTCTCAAGTTCTGTTTTAACTTCGTCGATCACAGGGTCTATGTTGCAGCCGAAAGTGGAGTCAAGATGAGCAAGTCGTCACGTGGTCTAGGCTTTAATTCGAAAAGACGTGTTGAAAAATAAATCCGCTCCAAGTAAGTGAAAAAGCTAAGCCTGAGAGTGAACCATGCATTCATGGACACGATTCCCTCAAGCAAAAGAATTAACGTAGCCTTAGATCTTACACATCTAGACTTAAAGCTTCGAACTGTGCCTGAGAAAAAAAAAATATGTACCTGGCTTTTTCGGATTGAGTTTCTCGAAGTAGGCATCCAACGCCTTCAGTCCTTGCGCATCCTTTCCGTTCGACGTTGCTCCACCATCAGAAACCCTCTGTGCTACTTCTGGAGGAGCTAAAACTGATACAGCCGATACTGAGCTGGATGTGGATACAGGAGAATTAGATAGTTCTATACCGCCGGTAGAACTTCCTTTCAATTTGTTGAAATACGCGTCCAGAGCACTGAGCCCGTTTTTTATGGCTAAGCCTTGCTCTACGGCATCAGATACTGTACTGTCGGGACTAACTATTTTCTGTTGCTCTTCGGCATTTGACGAAGTAGTTGTTGAGGCCGATTCGTGATCAGAGGAGTCGCACCGAATAGTCAGGAACGACTTTTTCTCCTCCCTAATTAGGTTATATTTTCTAAAGCCCAACTGAAAATTTCTAGTGGCATTACTTTGTCTTAAACGGTACTGCTGAAACCCGAAACAATTAAGACTTGAATAAGGTTTTATATTAGCACGAAACTGACAAGCACCTAAACTGAGGTCTGCATTGACGGCTCTACTTCCAGCGACATTCTCAGCGAAATTGGAGAAATTCGTTCTAGACGCTTCAACGTTTACACCACCAAATGGACAAGGCCTGTAGGCCTGAAACGAGCAAGGCGACTGCAAGATTTGGACTCCTCTCATGGTCAATGAGCTGCGACGCGTGCCTGCAGTTCAACACAAAATAAAGAACTGATGATTTGATCACTCCAAAAATTTGAAGCTCCAATAACCAACACTCTTCACACACTCGCACTCCGCAATAGTTGCCAGCGTCGATCGGCAAAAACATATCGTGGAGGATCTAAAGATCAGAGAATCCAACTCGAAGAAAAAGAAGAGCTGTAAAGCATGCGGACCAAACACTCAAGTCAACAAGACAGAACTCAGTGATGTCGTACACTTTTGAGCAAGCAAAATGCAAGATCTTCACAATTTCTGACTAGACTAGTCTCTAGAAAATTCCATCTCGACATTCTATGAGCGGTTCGGATTCAGCCTTCTTACGGGAATTTCTCGATACATTTATTACCGTGTAGTTTCAGTTCCGAAGGGAAAGTATAAACATATGGATGAGCTGGAGAGACTCAAGCGCAATATATATATTCACCGGATTGATATGCGACTAAAATTCTTCGGTCTCACACAAATTTTTTAGCCATGCCGGCGTAACCACGAATCGAATTAAACCAATTGGGTTTTTCGAATATCGACCGCTGTGAGGACTCCAAGCACGACACAAATTCAAATTGGCACAAAGAACGTGGCACCGACTCACAGCTCTCGGAATCCGAAACAAAACCAAAGGCGCAGCGATAGTTTCGTTCCTACACACTGCATCGAAATAGAAGGCCTACCAAACGCTGACATTACGAATGGCAAGCAATGAAGAAGAGGCAAACAGCAGCTCAGGGTGAGAATTCTCACGTTCGCACAAATCTATATTTTCCAGCTCGCGTGATCAAACCGAAGAAGCCTCGACACAGCCAGACATGTGCACTTCATCGAAGCGTGAGCCAGAAACAAGGCCGACGACGGCAGACACCACGACTGCCACTGATCCGACGCACCACCACCGCCTGCTCGCGTTCTTGCTCTTGCTCTTGCTCTGGCGCCGACAGGAGCATCCCTGAGGCTTCCCCTTCAGCTCCGGTCTCAGAGTCCGTGGAGGCCAGCGGAAGCGCCTGGACATGCGCCGGGTCCGATTATTGCCAAAGCGCCGAGCGCTGCGATGCGATGGCCGTGGGGCTGTCCAGCGCTGTCTCGGGCTCTGAGCTTTGCACCACCCGCCCAGGAATGGGATAGATCAGCAGCAGCAGCAGCGCAACGCAGTAACTGCAACCTGCGCTCGCAGTCCCTTCCGGATCTCAGCGGTCGGACCTCTCTCATCCGACGGCTCTCGGGCCTGGCCGCCTGAGATCTTCCCCGGTGACTGCCTACAGCCCGCCCTCCTGACCCGGGACCGGCTCTCACGGCTGGACTCTGATTTGGCCCTCCGTGATTGGGTTTCTGGATTCTAGAGCTCGTCCACGGTGTCAGATAAAGTCCTTGTCAGCAGCCGTCAGCGTCAGCGTCAGCAACGTAATGACCATTTCTCGGGACGGACTCAGACCTTCGACGGTGTCATCACCTTCCATGGAATCCACTGTCCGTCAGTCACATATCGCATCTCTTTGGAATGTTCTCGGGACATTCCGTGTTCGCAGATGTCTCCGCTATCTTGGTGAAAGTTACGTGCTTTATGCTGATGCCTGAGTCTATTCCACCCTCTATGTGTAGATTTTCTCTTCACTTGTTTCTCCCGTATATACATTAAACATGTATTTTGTAAGAGATCGTCCATGCATAATCTAGACTAAGTGCGTTACTGTCAAACAGATAGCAAGTCAACTATCTAAACATTTTATAAACTGTCAAGAAGTTGGATCCTAATGAAGAGAAATCCGACGTTCGCAAGAAACTAGACTGTAGGTTTAGGCAGACTAGCGACCATATTTCGATTTGCGTCGACTTTAAGATGCTGAATTACTCTATGTTGATATAAGCATTATCAATTTGGAAAGGTAGTTGAACGTTTAAACCAACTACAAGAGTGTGTAGTAAAAATGACCTAAACTACACAATTGATAACCTGGTTAAGCGATGATTGTAACTATCAATCGGCATATGTGAAATCATTGAACATAAGATATTTGAGAAAATGTGGAAGAAAATGAACAATTCTGTCTAAAACAAGTATAGGTGGAAAAAGTTTAACGAATCAATCGTTCATAAATTCCAAAAAATAATAAATACCTTTTTTGGAATATATATATATATATATATATATGTCAACTGACATATGTGAAAAATATCAATATCAGATACTGGAAATATCAATAATCTTTGGAAAAAGTTGAACGAATCAGTTGGATAAACTACTCAAATGCAATAAGTTGAATTTCATAGATTACATTTTCATAGTATTGTACAAAAGATAACTAACCATATATAGACATACAAACATCAACTATTATACACAAATGTCCCAAATTAAATAATTCATAACCAATAAACATGACCCATAAGATTTACTTCGTTCCAATATTAATAAAAAAATATATAGACACGACTTGAACAACTAATGTTACATCATTCAATATTATTCTGCTCATATTTCAGGTATAATGATGACTAGTATTTTTGGCAAGGCAATAAAAATAAATATATAGATGAATTTGGATGAATTTGTTCACAAATTGTAGCCAAGATCGGCCGATACGCAAGGTCAAAGAGCTCTTTACTCCGTGTAGATTTAAATTAAAAACACAGATGGAAAAAAAAATTTCTTATAGGAATAATCTTAGGCTACAATATCCTTTGCTCATACAAATTGTGAAATGAAATTGTAGATTGGAGAGTTTTTAATATTCTTTGCTGCAAATAAGACTTGCCTTGAAACAATTTGATACTTGTGAAGCCATCTCGGTGTCATCTATAAGCAATATGATATGAGTTATGAATGAAAATACTTTGCTATAAACTTGCAGATCATGCAAGTATATAAGAAAATCATCATAATCAGAAAATAAAGTGAATAGTTAGATTAACATTTTTTTTTCTCAAGTTTTGATGATTTTATACAATTTCATAATCAACTTAAATGGCTATTTTTCAATAAAAAAAAATAAATGATTGCTCAAAATAATAATGGTGAATCTTTAAAAAATCTAATATATGAACATGATACTTTGTGATTTATTGGATTTCTAAATTTAGTAATTAATATTGTAAGGATTTAAATTTTATATTTTATAATTACTATAATTTTACACTTAATTTTTGTATCAATTAATTAATTTTGAAGAAATTGCTACAACTCATTTTATAGGCCAAAAAAATTGTCAACACACAAATATTTTAGTTCTATTTTCTGTTATTAAATTTATTTTGATTATTAAAATATATATAATTTTTGTAATAAACACTCAAGACACTATTAAATCATCAAGTAAAAGTAAAAACATAGTTAGATATAATTATAAAAAATCTTTAACTTTTAAATTTCAAATCATAGATCAATAATGTATCATAGATGTTGATTTTTTTTGTAAAATCACATAAATAATTATCATGTATGAAAATTTTATAAAAATATATTGAAATTAATTATTGATTTGAGATATTATTTTTAATATATTAAATTTGAACTAAAATAACATTATGAACATATATAATTTAAGACTCACATAAAAAATTTGCTCATTATATCAACAGTTTAAATTTATGTATTTATAAGAATCGGGATTTGAATCAATGAGCAATTTATCAATATATGTCTGAATTTTATTTTTGAGTATATTGTAAATTTTATTTTATTGAAATAAATGTAATTTACATAGTTTTTACAAAAAAAATAAATGAAAATTAGATAATTCATTGCAATTTTTCTTCCAAAAAACCATTATTTAACACCATCTAAATAATGAAAAAAAAATTAAAATTAAAAGTTTATCATGAAATTAAAAATCATATTGAGGTTTTATTTATTGATTATTTTTATGTATGTTTAATTGAAAGAGGTGAAAGTAAAAAAGCATTGAATTTTTTTATGCTTGATTGTAAAGAAGAAAATATCAACCCATTCCACAAGTTTGAAGTTTGAAAAAATGATTGATTTAAATTGGAGACTTCATTATCTGGAAGAAAATTTTGAAATAATAATTATTTGCTTGAGATCTTGAAATGATATTCTTTGATCTTCATAAAAATTTATTACCATCTCAAGTTTTAAATAAAAAATTCAAATTTATATATTTATTTCTAGAAAAAACTTAGAATATCCACCGAGTGCAGATCCAAGAAGTGAAGAATTTAATTCTGGAGAATGTAAAAGTTACACCACCTGAATTAATGAGAAGTGTAAAGATTTCACCAAATAATATTTTACACTATGATAGTTTCAATTAACAAGGTGATGATACCAAATAGTTCAAACAAGTTGGATTGGACATTGCTTCTAATGTTTCAAAGTTGTACTTCTTAAATAGAAAATATTGTAAAATTTTAATGAAGAGTTTCACCGTATGACTCAAATATTTCACTTGAGTCATTTGATCTTCATAAAAAATAATTGACTCTTCCTATTCTCAGTGTGTTATAAATGAAGGGAAGGATGAACAGCCAAAACATACAAGTCCAAATAGTGTAATAGTACACGAGTAACTTGTCTTGTATAGGTTATACCAGAGTCTATACAAGAACTAAAAGACTTAGTAGTACTATGGCCTCTTGTATAGTGCAAGTAGTGTAATAAATGTTATAGATAGCAATCAAAAGTTGAGTAGATTCTTTTTTTGGGTGGAAATATAAAATGTACACGCCATTGTACACATCACATAGTCGTGACACTCAAAGTTTGAATAAAATTTCGTGTCATTCTTCAGCACTGAAATAGTGGATTGCAAAATATACACGAATCGTACGGGTGTAAGTCGAGAGTCCGAAGAGGACACGTGGAGGTGTGATGAAAGTTGCTCCAGAGCAAATTCCTGACAGCGTAACTGGTGGTGGACATCATGGTGTAGATGAGGCCCGATTTTCCTGCTCTGCTTTCCCTGACCTCACATGCACCCACGAGCTACTGTATTTACTCGCACGGTGCTGCTGTATTCTACCTGTTGTTCCTACCATCGATGAGCCTCGAACTTTGACAGTTGTGTGACGAGATTATAAAAGACAGTTGCGTTACGCCAACTCAACTACGCCCGCAATTCAAGTTCAGGGGCAGTACTGTTCTCAGTTCGACCCGGTAAAATTGTGTTCCGAGTTCCCTCGACGCTTTACGAAATTCTGGTCGTTTTGGAAGTTGTGTCTGGCTGCACGGAACATATCTAAATTTGGACTGCATGATGTTCTACGTGCGATTCCATGATGGAACTGTCATGCGATTTAACTGGACTTTCATTTTAAGTCTTCTTCCGTCCGAGGAAAGTCAGCCATATATTATGGCTTGCCACGATAATCTGCACTACCTTTTGCGTGCACTTGTCGATCCTAATTCAGTACAACAAAACCTCCCTCTTTTCCACCGAGGGGCGTTAGGAACCTCGGACTGCATCGCCTCTGCCATGCGTAGATAACAACAATTACGGGCGGATGCAAGACATTGACGGCCAAAACGCATAGGACTCACAAGTCCGTCACAAACTATAGTAGAAAAAAACCCAAACGTGTACAGGAATTGCAAGCGAGACGGGAATGATGAGAATGTATGAATGTAGCGTAATATGCCGGCATTCTTATTGCTTATCCATGGAAACAAGTACACGTTCAGCTATAATGTGAGATTTCAGGAAGGCATCGACTCTTGACCACCTTAGTAATCATCGCCTTCGTCGCCTTCGTCTCCCTCGGCTGACTCGGCACCGACTTCTTCGTAATCCTTCTCAAGAGCGGCGAGATCCTCGCGGGCCTCAGAGAACTCACCCTCCTCCATACCTTCACCGACGTACCAGTGAACGAATGCACGCTTGGCATACATGAGGTCGAACTTGTGATCGATTCTGGAAAATACTTCCGCAACACTTGTTGAGTTCGAGATCATGCACACTGCTCTCTGAACCTTGGCAAGATCACCCCCGGGCACGACTGTTGGTGGTTGGTAGTTAATACCGCACTTGAATCCAGTAGGGCACCAATCCACAAACTGAATAGTCCTCTTCGTCTTGATAGTGGCAACTGCGGCATTCACATCCTTCGGCACAACATCACCTCTGTACATTAGACAGCAGGCCATGTATTTTCCGTGTCGAGGGTCGCATTTGGCCATCATGGAAGATGGCTCAAATGCGCTGTTCGTGATCTCCGCGACAGAAAGCTGTTCGTGGTAAGCCTTCTCAGCTGAGATTACAGGCGCATAGGACGAGAGCATGAAGTGGATTCGGGGGTACGGCACCAAGTTGGTCTGAAATTCAGTAACGTCGACATTAAGGGCCCCGTCGAAGCGAAGGGACGCTGTCAAGGAGGAAATAACCTGAGATACAAGCCTGTTCAGGTTTGTGTAGGTAGGGCGCTCAATGTCGAGTGAGCGCCTGCAAATGTCGTAGATCGCCTCGTTATCGAGAAGAACAGCAACATCTGTGTGCTCGAGAAGAGAGTGGGTAGATAAGACACTGTTGTATGGCTCGACAACAGAAGTCGAGACCTGAGGAGAAGGATATACGGTAAAACCGAGCTTCGACTTCTTCCCATAGTCGACAGACAGTCTTTCCAGAAGGAGGGATCCCAAACCAGATCCAGTTCCTCCTCCGACAGCGTTGAAAACCAGGAAACCTTGCAGACCGGTGCAGTTGTCTGCCAGCTTCCGGATCCGGTCGAGGCAGAGATCCACGATCTCTTTCCCAACTGCACACAGCGAGAAAGAGCACCTTCAGTATATTACGCCTGGCGACTATTTCGCAACCGAAACAAGTTACCACGAAGTCAACGTGAGTCTCACTGTATCAACTCTAGTCAACATTGACAAGGTGGCAGCTATGCGAAAACTCCGACTTACTGGTGTAGTGACCACGGGCGAAATTGTTCGCCGCGTCCTCCTTTCCGCTGATCAGCTGCTCGGGGTGGAACAACTGACGATAGGTACCAGTCCGAACTTCATCGATGACAGTAGGTTCCAGGTCGAGGAAGACCGCACGAGGAACGTGCTTCCCGGCTCCCGTCTCACTGAAAAACGTATTGAAGGCGTCGTCACCTCCACCCACCGTCTTGTCACTGGGCATGTGACCATCAGGCTGCAATGAACGCACGAATTTCTCCTCAGCATTTCAGCGTTTCAGCATTTGTAAACGCCCGAAGCACAGACAACCATTCCTTGGAGGCTACGTTGACAAAAAGCAGAGAAGACCCGAATGCTGGAGCACCCGTGACACAAGATAAGCTAACGCATTCTCCTCCGAGCACCAGAGGGCCGCGTTCACACTGACTGAAAGTTTAAGCGATCGAGCAGATCTATCTGGTTGTGCGACGGGTTCTTACCTGGATGCCATGCTCGAGGCAGTACAACTCCCAGCAGGCATTTCCAACCTGGATGCCGGCCTGTCCAATGTGGATCGAAATGCACTCTCTCATTTTCGCTAACAATTGACAGCTCCAAATATGACTGTATTGATCGAGAAAGGATCGGCAGAAGAGAAGGGAAACCTTCGAGAAGACGTTTGCAAAGACGCCTCCAAGAAGTGAGAATGTGAGGCGTCAATGTGCGACATTGGCAATATAAGGTCTCCGAGCTCCGGCTCTAGGGCGGCCACTGGGGGCCGGGGGCCGGCCTTCATTGGCGGGACCGCAATGAGAAGTCCGGCCCCTCCCGCCGGCCCGCCAGTTCGCCCGTCGCCGGGCGCACTCTTTGAACGCTCCCGGCGCCACCGCCGGCTGCCACCTCACCTGACCGTGACAGGGCCCACCGTACTCCCCGGCAGCATGGCTCGTTACAAATTCAATTTCCAAATCTTCTCTTTGCCAATGGCGACAACCGTTGCCACTCGCTTGGACTCTTTCGGAGAGCGCGTCCGGCGTTTGTGTCTTGGTACCATATTTGAAATTTGTCCTGTTCTCCATTTGTTACTGTCGATTTGGGGATTTCTATACACAAGTGAATGCGAATTCTTTTGTCTGTGGATAGAGAAGTAAAAAATTCGAGATTCAGTTGATGGTGCCTTCTAATTTATCAAGTTAATATTTCAAGACATTTCAAACCGACTAAAACTTTTATTCATACATTGAATAATGTGTTCATATTTCATAATTGAGTTTTAGTTTTGTATTATACAAATTCGAAACCAGCCACAGAAAGTTACACACAGTAGAGATTGACATGGGGTCTCATGCTAGAGACTAGACTACGTTCATTCTTCCAAACGGGTGTACACTTATCGATGGGATGAAACTCGAAGCTTCTACTAGTAGGTTGGCGGAGTATGAGATTTACAAACATAAATTATTATATTATAGCAAGCTGTTTGCTCACACCTAATACATAATGAGTTTTGTTTGCTCACACCTAATACATAATTCGTCAGTAAACTAGAAATATCCAATATGGATGATTCTAGTTTTATTCACAGTCAATTTTGTACTTAAAGGTACAAATCCAAGTAGTTGGGGTAACTGATTAGTGTAGTATACACTGATCGGGTGGGGAGAAAAGTCTCTGAAGGATCACTGCACAACAATCAAAGATCGAAGTAAAGATATTTGAGAATTCTGATAACATATTTTGGATGAAGAATTTGAGCCAAAATATCCTCCTCAAATGCCATCTTTTCAGAATGTAATAGGGAAGGTTCCCAAACAAGCATGCTTTGTTTTTCATGCAGCTCGCATTGTGTTGCTTGTGATCATCGACTGAAATTATGCATTAACAAAAGAATGTATACTGCGAAGTCTCGTTGAATTCACTCTGTATCTCGAGCTACAAATGCAAATTATTTCGAACATCTATACATACTTCAACTGCTTTAAAATATTTCACCTGCGATTTTTGCTTTTTTGGTATGCTGATTTTTTCATCCATTATTTTCAAAATGTTACCGCTATAAGTGTGATTATCATGTTATGTCAACTTTAACTAAATGATTACCATTTTTCTACTTCCCGCGGATGAGCTTTTCAAAGTGTATGTATAAAGTTCGAACATCTTAAAAATGTGATGAAATATATCGATATATGTTGTCGTATTGGATCAAGGATGTCACTGAGAGTGTAGACAATAAAAGTTAGTTTGGTAAAAAAATGACCTACAAAATTGAGATTTTGAAATATACTCATTGATTGTATTGTCGCAAATAAATTCCAAGTGTCTTGGGACATGCACTTTGATAAGATGGAACTGGTTGGACTGCTTCCCGCGTGCTGTGAAATGATTCGAAGGCCTGCGAAGTGTAGAACAAGCACAAGTGATTTATGTGGTATTTAGTACAGTAAGTCTATTGTAATCCACTTCGCTGCGCTTAGATGAAAGTGCTGACAGGGAAGACGGAACATCGACCTTGACATGTCTTATCAAGACGTGCAGTCCGTGCACACTGCTTCCAAATGGTAGATGCACGACATGTTGTAAAGACAAATCATACTGAAATAACAATCTACGCCTGTACAGTATACAATACAATGCACACACATTCTTCTAAAGGTCAAAAGGAACCAATTTCATGACATAATTTGAATTAAAATAAACGTTAAAAACTCAAAGGTTTAATTTAAGCAATTAAATATTACTTTGTATATTTTTATGAGTTGAGAATTTTTTTTACAGTAAAAATTATTAAAAAATAAACGATGAGAAATAATTTTTAGTTACTAACAAAAAATTCAAAGAAGAAAGAGCTTTTTAATCTTTTGGTGTGTATATTTTGAAGTTGATCATGTTGAGAGTTACCTCAGGTTTTTCGTTGGCTCAAAATAGCTTGATTGCGGTTAGTGAAGTTGGGTGTAATAGATCTGACGAAAGCTTTCCATGACATTTTTTAATGAAGAGGAAAATTATCAAGAGATGAATTTTGTGAAAACTAACAAACAACTAAAATTAAAAATTTCCCATTTTTTATTTTTTATCTTTGAAATCTAAAATATCATGACTTTCCCACCTTACCAAGATCAATATATGATCGATCATCTTAGTTTCATGCTCAATAGCGTGATATGTATTACCCGCCTTTTTGGTGCATTACACCATCTTCACGGTAGGCTTATTTCGAGCTCTTCCGTTTCACGTCGCATACCTGCAAGCGGTATTTTCCTTATCTATAAAATGTTAATGGATTGTGACTAAATATTTTTCCTTTGTAAACTTAATCTGAAATTAGTCTTTTAGAGCACGAAAATTATTACCAAGCGGGGTAAGCGCGAGATAATATCAGTTCATCGCTGGTCAGCAAGTATGATGGTCTTAATGATGATTTTGCATATTTTTCGTGTTCATTTGACAGGAGGTTTTAAAAAACCTCGGGAATTAACTTGGGCTACTAGTGTTATTTTAGCAGTTTTAACTGTATCTTTCGGTATTACAGGTTATTCTTTACCGTGGATCAAATTGGTTATTGGGCAGTTAAAATTGTAACATCTAAATCTAAAACACGAATTCGTAAAGCTATTCATCTTCGGCGCAAGAGCGCTTGATGAGGTGTGATTTAATATGTACTTGAAAAATTTTCAACATATTTTGAATGTATCATTAATATGAAACTTGGAATTCCCTTCTTCCAAGCACAGAGGAGAAGTAATTTGTACCTACTGTACTTTCCTTTTCGTTTCCCAGTACTCGGAACTAGCGATGCTACGGAGGACGGCGAGCGAAGGTTGGCGAAGTTACGAACCCTGCAGCGTTCTCGAAGGCGCAGCTGGAGGCCAGGTCAGTCTTGCGGCTGCCTCTAAACCCTTGGGGTTGTACTGAGCTCCTGCGAAGTAGTAGTAGTAGTACAGGATGCGGCAAGGAACTTTTCGCTGAAGGAGTTGCGCTGCGCTGCTCTTCCTGTGCGCTCGATCGCTCGTGGAAGCCTTGAAATGAGGTAGTTTTTGTCGTCGTGCAGCGCTCGCTTCTCTTGCTACATGGACGAGAATTTGAATTTTTCTGCTGCCCTGCGCATCTCTCTGCGAACGAGTTTAAATCGAGGGCTTTGGATTTCGCGTCAGTCTTGGTTTGATTTCGATGTCTGACGGAAGCGATGTCGGTTTTTTCCAGAGAACGACTCGCGTCAGGTTCCGGACGCGTGAGTGTGTGTGTCGTAGAGTTGTTTGGTTCCGTGGTTGCGTTCAAGCTGCGGTCGCTGTATGGCGAAGGTCCGATTCTGCACGGCGAATTGCGTGGAGATGGTCGATGGAGTGATTTGATGCTAGTTTAGCCCCTGGCTCCTGAGTCGGTCGAGGGCTGCCGAAGATGGTAATTCACGCAGGAGATGATTCGGAGGAGGAGGATGATGATGAAGATATCGCAATGGAAGAGGGATTCCAGGGTCATCTCGATGCTTTGAAGCGAGCATGCCTGCTAAACATTGGGCAGGATAGTTTTCTGACCACCGGAGCTGGGTCTCTTCCTGATACCGCTTCTACTCTAGAAGAAGATGATGAGGAGCTGTTCGAATCCATCCAGAAGAAATATTTTTTGGGCTCCCTGGACAAGGTTTCGATTCCGCAAGGGAGACCCTCAAGCAACAGTGATGACGAGGACGAGGAGCAGGACGATGAAGAAATCTTGCGGTCTGTGGAAAAGCTTTACAGTGTAACTGAACTTTCGAGACAAATAAGTAATGAAGTTGATGAGAATGCAGTTTTTTTGGAGGTTCGAATTGATTCTCCAGGTATAAATTCTCGCTAGTTCTAAAAAGCATGCTCTTTGCGTCTCTCTTTTCTCTTTGAATTTCCAAATTTCAGTTGACTTCATGAGAAAGGAGAAATAGAAGCACAGTGTGTCTTGAGTCAATTTTGGGTTCAGAGCCTAGTTTCGGAGTCTGAATTCCGAGAACCGTCACGATGAGTCAAAGTCTCAACGTCCATACCAAATTGTCAGTCAATCTGTAACTTGATAATTTTCGAGATGAAAGAGATTCAAATCCGTAAGAAAGTCGTTTCTACAGTCCATGCAGGGAGTGAAGCACCAGATGAGAGCAGCAGCCGACCCGAAGACTCTGATAAGGATGTCACTCATCCCGTCAAGGATTTGGGGAGAGCAGTTTCGACGTTGCTGCCGTCGAACTGGAACGAGGAAGAAGATCCGGAGTTCAATCCCCCCAGTCCCAACTCGGCTGTTGTTGCCTATGATCCATACAAACACCATACAGATGAGCTTCTATGTGAAGATTATGGGAATTATGGCTCTGAAGATAAAGAGAAAATGATCGGGGAGGCATTGCAAAAAAATTTATCTTATCAGCAAAACTTGAGAAACATTCTAAATCGAATAGAGTCGAAACAGAAGCACAATGCCGAAATGCAGAGACGTGTGAGGACCCTGCTCGATTTCGAGAAGTACTGTAAGCGTAAATATGCGGTTTTCTTCACCGATCAGGCTAATCCTTCCCTGAAGCTATTTTCTGTCGGTAGAGGCGGATACCAAAGCAGGAATGATGACAAGGTTTTTTTCTTCGGCACCCAAGACCTTCAAGTTTGACAAGCACTATCTCAAGTTAGCTGAAGCCTGAACTAGGTTGTCGGTCTGATGTTTGGTTACAACCAGATCATTCATATCTTGTTTCCATAAAAGTTTCCCTCTCATCGTCAGGGCCGTGCTATTCAAGATGTTTTTCAGTCTTTCTCTGCATCTTCTGCCGGAACCGAAATTGCCTGTTGTGGCTACCAAAAGTTAATGTGCACCTCTAACCTATTCTGCACAGTATGTCTTTATTATGTTTGATTGCTGTTACACTCAGTGTCTTCTGCTCGGTTTTGAATCTGCTTTGGCAGAGTGATTACCACCCTGGCGGACCTCCAGATAATGCAGACGTCGAAGTTTACAAAATGTTAAAGCAGAAAGCAACATTTGCCTCGATGAGCAGAAGATGGCGAGCAGAAGAGCTGAGAGAGTTAGCCAAGGGCGTAAAACAACAAATCTATGAAGTCTTGGTTTGTGAAGCCATGGACGCAATAAGGTAACTTCAGCATGAATAAGCTCAGCTTTGATTGAGTTGGTAACCTATCCGAATATTTTTGGGGTTTACACTCAAGCGATGTTCTTAAACTCACTTGCTTTTAAAGACTTGTTATCGTGCAGATGACTTATATCATTTACGGAGTTTGATGTAATCCTGGGGCCTGTTTCTGACATGGTTGTTTCTACATCCGCAGCAATGGAGATATAATAGGAGACAATGCACTAGAGAACGCTCTGAGTGCAATAAGGAATAAGGAACTGACTCCTGAAGAGATGAGAAACGCCATTGCGGATGTCAACTGGAATGAGGTAGCAAGGGTGTATGTAGTAAATCGCACCCCAGAGGAATGTCGCACACGGTACAGTCCGATGCCTTTAATTAGCTCTTCCCCTGCTTCCAACCGAATGGGATTACGTTGTGATATTATTGTCTGATAGGAGATACGGAAGTGAAAAGTCAATCTCTTTGTCATAACTGGCGTCTCTGACGCCCGGTTAGATTCTAGCCCTCGTAAGTGTCCACATTCCTCACGATCTTGATTAATTATCTTACAAGTTAATTTAAGTTCACTCATGCAGTCAAGATTTGCAGCTGAAATGAGACGTGAATATGAAGACAGAAAGTAGAAAGTGAATGGAGGTTTACAAAACTAGTTCCGGTTCTCCTACCAACTTTATCTCTGGTTCTGTCAGTTTGTTATTGTGCTTTCAAGGATCCCTAATCATCTGCTAAGCAGAACTGATTTGTTATTTTAAAAGGTGGTAACTGTTCAAAGACCTTCGTGGCTTCTGTTGCTGTTTCTGCTAACATACAAGTGATTTATTTGCTGGTAAGTTCATCACCGTTCTGATTTGTTTCCTGGCAGATGGCTGAATCATGAAGATCCTCTTATAAATAAGTCTTCTTGGACCAAGACAGAAGACAAGAAGCTTCTCAGTATCGCGCAACGAAATAAGACCACCAATTGGGAGAAAATTGCTCAAGAACTGGGGACAAATAGAACTCCAGCAGAATGTCTAACACGGTATCAGAGGAGTCTAAATGCCAGCATCATGCGTAGTGTTTGGACTCCTGAAGAGGACGCCAAGTTACGTGCGGCAGTGGAGGAACTAGGTGAATCAGACTGGAGTCTTGTGGCTGCTTGCCTGGAGGGTCGAAATAACAGTCAGTGCCTGATGAGGTAATTGATCATACAAATCTATGCAGGTTCCACACTATGAATTCTTCTTGTGGACTCTTTTGGAGGGTATCTAGAGGTGTCTACAGTTGGTGACCTAACACTCAAAGTAGTTTGGTTACCGTAAGTAAACTCCAATTGTGTTTGCTTTCTGTCATACCGGTGGTCCAGGTGGTACAAAGTTCTGCACCCGAGAAAACAGAAGAAAGGAAGGTGGTCAGTCGAAGAGGATAAGCGGCTCAACTGGGCTGTGTCTTTACACGGAGCTAGAAAATGGAAGCAAATTGCAAATCATGTCCCCGGGCGCACTGATATCCAGTGTCGGGAGAGGTAAGTCAGGCCAGGGCGTAATCATCTATAAAATTGAAGTTGCAGATATGTCGAGTCAAAACTGGCTGATCGCGGTATATCACAAGCTGGCTGGTTTTGGACTGCAAAATACAGTGATTGTACTTTCAGTAATTCGACTCGCTTCACATGTTTTTTACAGGTGGTGTAACGTTTTGAACCCGGATATCAAACTTGATACTTGGACTGAAGAAGAGGACCAGACTTTGCGGGAGTCAGTTGCTCTTCACGGGCCTCATCGTTGGTCTGCGATTGCTACTGATCTGAAAGTCAGAACGGATAAACAATGTTGGCGGTGAGTATTCTCCGTCAGCTCTTACAGAGATTCATCTGGGATAAACTTGTCGTAGATAAACTGTATCAATTGGACATCTTTCCTGGCTAGTAATAACAAACTGAGAAGAACGAGTAGAGTGGTATGAATCGGGATAAAGAGTGAAAAGAGTCTTGTATGTAATAAAAGTCTCCTTGATTGATTTTGGTTTGACTCTTCTGATTGTAATCAAGAAACTCTTTACCACCTAAAGACTGTAATATATAAACAATATAATCGGTCGTGCTAATAGTCTTGACTAGGTAGCTAGAAATCTTCTCCTGAAATGTGTACCATTATATGATACAGGAGGTGGAAGATTCTTTTCCCAGAGGAACAACCTGACTATAAGAGAACTGTCTTCATTCAACGCAATGCTTTGATAGGAAACTTTCAAGGCAGAAAGAAGGAGCGTCCTAAACTGGGTCCTCAAGATTTTGTATCGAAAGCCGATACTTTTGGAGTACCCAGTAACATCGTCCGCGAGACTAAATCTAAAAGGAGAACCAGTTCGCGATCAGCTGAAGAGAGAACGACTTCGCGTTCAGCAAAGAAGAGAACCAATTCGCGGTCAGCTAAAAAGAGCTCGGTGTCAGTCCCAGCCGATGAGTGCGGACGCAACAGTTCTACTCCGACCACAGCTGCCTCCATCCAAAGGTTTTACACTATCCACTTTCTGTGATGCATTCCTTTGACTCCTTGAATGGGTTTGCAATATCGGTCACATTTTTCTTGTCAGTGATCCTCTCACGTGGGAAAATGTCTTATCTCTCAGAGGACTCTCTTTTTGCTTCATATCACCTGCTTTCAGTTTTCTCCCTCATCTACCTCAGTCAGCAGAACCGTCTTCAAGAATTCACGTGCTACTTGTTTGAAAGTACAATCTATCCTAATTATATTCACTTCTGTCTTATTTATGCAGAGATTCTGCCCATAGCAGTCAAGATCAACAAGACTCGACAAACCATGAAGGACAAGACTTGACAATTTATGGGGAACGAGGCACGATAACCTCTGAGAGTACAGTAATAGGAGCTCTGGAAGAAGTTTCTGTAAATGGAAATGATACACTTGCCGATTCCAAACTACGCCGTCTGGCCCGTATTCACAAACTGAAACTTTCCAGAGCAAATAAACTTGCCAATTCTGCCAATTTAGTCCTCCCTAGAAGTGCCCAGTCCACGAGATCGACTCCTGATAATCAAAGTGAATATGGGCAGAATGAAGTTACAGATCCCTCGTCGAGTGCCCAAGTTCAGATTGAAAAGAAGAAGGGCAGGAAGCGTTCAAGGACGGAAGGATCTGATGGTCTAGGTAACCCTTCGAAGCGACCAAGGAAAATATCAAGCAAGAGGACAAGTGACGTCCTCGAGTGTGACATTCAGTCCTCTTCACAGCTTAGTGAAGTTTCGCCCCATCTTTCGTCTGAGGAAACTGAACCATCATCTTCTGGAGGCCTTTTAGCTGTGACCGACGGGGCTGAGCAGGGAGTGACAAATGGAGGAACAGCAGAGGTCATATGCAAGAGCAAGAAACGTTCAAGAGTATCAGCATGTCCGCAACCACGCCGGGTTTCGAAACGAAGAAGACCTGACAACATGTGCTTACCTTCTAGAGATAGTGACATCCAAACTGCGGCCGAAGAACCACCGGTGGTCAGACCCGAACCCGGACCTGCTATTCTTTCTTTGGTGGACCTTGTCCATTCAATAAATGAATTTTGTAAGTACACTTTTCTTCTCAACGAGGAGCAGCACGTTCAAGCTCTTCCGGACCCTGACGTAAGTGATACTGCGGTGAGAGTAGGTGTTGAAAATATAACATCTGGATCGAGTGCCCTTGGCCCACAACTCTGCCCTGACCCCGTACAGGAGAGGTATCTTAGATTAGTACACGATCATGATACACCTTTTGTGGATACAGAATCCATTCCAGCCAACGGGCATGGTTGTAGGACAGAGAGAAGGATGGTAGCGAGTAAGCCAACCGCAGGGGGTGCATGTGATGCTCTCTGGTGCCCGAACTCTGGTGTTAACCGAATAGCTGTGCGGTCGGACGGAGAGGGCGAAACCAGGCTGATAACTCACGCGAACACCGAATCTAATATGGGAGGAGTTCAAGATGGTCCGAGCCGGTTGTCCCCTGAGGATGAAGAAGTTGCTGCCGCCACGAAGGCTATCCTGTCTTGGCCATTTTTCTATGGAGTACAGCAGCTCACACTTCGGGCTGATGAGTATCTGAATTCAAAGGCTCCTCGGAAATCCTCAACTGCCAGACCCCCAAAATCCACGAAGAAAGGAAAGTCTCTGGGCACGTCGGAGACAATCGTTGAGACTCAGCCGGTGGCAGTTCCAACCCCGGTGACGGCAGTCGATAACCCTGTCTCCAAAAGACCGAGGAGTGCACGATGTGCAGCTAGAATGAGAGGAACTTCACGTGAGAGAACTTCTGAGCAGGACAGGTTTGTATAGCACCATTTGAAAGTTTTGGAGTCAGAGAAAAGTGTGGGTTGCAGATTATGTCTTGATTCCGTGGCCCTTTTTGTTACTCGTCCAATCGTTCACTCACAGCTCTTCACCTGTTGGTTCACCAGTTAACTGGAATGCTCAGAGTCGGTGCGCTCCTCCGCTGCTGATACATAAGCTGATAAGTAGTGTCATTATAATGTCGAGGACCTTCCAAGCGTGCCTATCGTCTAGGTGAAAGACTGCTCGCAGAAGAAATTTACTTTTTTTTCAGCGTGAAGACAGTCGGGGGCAGTTTTGGCGGATAGCCTGTAATGGAACGGCATTATTGAACTTCTATTACATGAGAGAAATTTTGGGTGAGTATTGTTGTTTAGAAGTGACGATAGTTATTGTTGTTGCCGCTGGACTAAGTTCTCATTTATCTTTCAGCTTTTTCAGATGGGCCACGCTGATGCCGTGTCTAAAGGTGTGATCATTTTGATTCGATCTATGTAGCCAAGATCTTGAATGTTCTTTGGTTGTTGTCATCAGAAGAAGCGGATCTTATATGAAATTACCAGGGACGGTCACCTCTGAGATGGGTCATCTCTGAGTCTGGTATATGCCCCTTCTATCCTGATCTTACTGCAGTCAGCTTCGATGTACTTCAATTATTGTTTTGCATTCCATCTATAACAAGTACCTTGATACTAAGACTTTGTTGTGACCGCAAGATTGAATTTCCTGCGGTTGTGATGAAATTTTTCGATGATTTCTAACAACTTCAAGCTAAAAGGATGTCTCGCTGTTCTTGGCAATTGCTCCAGATGGCCGTTACTTGCCACACCGATGCAAAGCACCTCAACGTCGGCGATGGAGTTATGATGCGACAAGGCCGTGTTGAAAACGTAACGACATGGACATCATCTTTCGTCGGAGTTTTTTTGAGCCCAGAATGTAGCAAAAGGAACCAGGTTGACTAGTTGGTACTTTAAAGAGACAAAGTCAGCGTAAGGTCCAGAGGCCCTAGTATTTTTGTGACTCTCCTACTTCCTGATTGTTGATCAATCGACCATCGGGTCTAGTCGGCGACGGTTGCTTCTTCACAAGCAAAGCAAAGATGTGTTTCAGTTGTCAATATCCTGAGTTCCTCCTGATGAATGTCGTTTAGAGTCGAAATCGCCAGGTGTGTGAACTGGTGGAACTGCATAATAGAACAACAAAGACCCCTTCAAACCATCTGCATGGTACAAACATCAAAATTGATGCCGAACGAATCTAATGAAGCCGCAAGTAATCCTAGCATCGGATGGCCCCTTGGGACAACACAGTCCTAATGCGTGTGACCAGTGAGTGAATACGAGCGGAATTCGGCACGCTCCGAGGGAAGTTGAACGTCAGGAAGACCCACGGCTTCAAAGAGCAACCACACAGAAGGAGCCAGAATTAACACCGGTCAGAATGAATGAGAAGGAGCATGAGCAAGAGTCACTCGTAGGCGGAGGCCAATACTCTCGTTCAGCACGTGGGTCTCGGGCACTGTCATCGACGTAACCAGTCTCAGCCAAACACCTCGAGTCGATCCTTGAGATGACAAGGCCCGTCTGCGCCGTGTCACTGTAACCGCGTCTTGTAACGAGAAGCGCCCTCGGTTGAGAGCCTCAGAATGCGAGGAGAGCCCATCATGTCGTTACTGTAACGAAGCCCGTCCCAGTTGCCGAATCCATACGAGCACGGCGCATGGTCGAGCTCCGAGCGGGAGGGAGGGCGAGCTTCGACGGAAGAATGAACGAAAGATGGAGCCTCCGAAGAAGAGACGAGAGCAGAGAAGAGATTCGAGCTCGCTCAGATCTTGCGATGTCGAGCGCAGAGCCTCGTTTCTGCTCATGGTTTGATGTTCTTTTGATGTCGGGTGACGACACTACTCGCGAGGGCGAGTGAAGGATTGATGAAGGATTGAAGGAGCGAGGGCGCGACTTTATGTGGAGGCCGAGCCGAGGCGCAGGCAGAGGCAGAGGCAGAGGTTGGAGCGAGAGAGAGAGGGGACGGGGCGATGGTTGCCGAAGTGCGCAAGATGCGAGATAGGGACGATGCGGAAGTCGGCGGAGGAGGAGGAGGAGCGCCTGGGGGAGAAGCGGGAGCAGGGGCGGGAGGAGCAAAGAAGCCGAGGCTGGAGGCAACGACCGAGAGCGCGGGGGGCCTCCCGCACTTCGAGTACGAGGACGACGACGAGAAAGCTGAGGACGAGGAATTGGAGGAGAGGTCGCGAGAAGCTCGCCGGCGGTACACGGAAGTGCGCCGAGATTGCCCCTATTTGGACACGGTGAATCGACAAGTGCTGGATTTCGACTTCGAGAAGTTTTGCTCTGTGTCGCTGTCCAATCTGAATGTGTACGCGTGCTTGGTGTGCGGGAAGTATTTCCAAGGCCGCGGCCGGAACTCGCACGCCTACACTCACAGTCTCGAAGCCGGGCACCATGTTTTCATCAACCTGCAATCCGAGAAGGTCTACTGCTTGCCCGACGGCTACGAAGTGAACGACCCCTCCCTGGACGACATTCGCTTCGTTCTGAATCCAAGATTCACTCGCGAGCAAGTGGTGCTGCTCGACCGGAGCAAGCAGTGGGCCCGCGCGCTCGATGGCTCCGATTATCTTCCTGGAATGGTAGGGTTGAACAATATAAAGGAAACGGATTTTGTGAATTCGACGATCCAGTCTCTCATGCGTGTCACTCCTCTGCGGAACTTTTTTCTCATTCCTGCAAACTATGAAAAGTATAAGTCGCCTCTCGTCGAGCGGTTCGGGGAGCTCACCCGGAAGATTTGGCATTCTAGGAACTTCAAAGGGCAAGTGAGCCCGCATGAGTTCCTTCAGGCCGTCATGGTAGCGAGCAAGAAGCGCTTCAGGATCGGGGTACAGTCGGACCCCGTGGACTTCATATCTTGGCTGCTGAACACCTTACATGCCGACTTAGGTGGCACTCGCAAACCCTACAGCAGCGTGATCTACAAATGTTTCCAGGGAGAGTTGGAAGTCGTGAAGGAGGTGCAAAAGAGCTTCATTGACAAATCGGAGAGCGAAGACCGTGCACATGCTACTGTCGAAGAAGAGAAGGTCAGGAGCACGGTTTCAGTGTCGGAGGAGGTTAGCAAAATGCCTTTTCTGATGCTGGGATTGGATCTTCCTCCTCCTCCACTTTTCAAAGATGTCATGGAGAAAAACATCATCCCTCAAGTTCCTCTCTTCAATATTTTGAAGAAATTCGACGGAGAGACTGTGACAGAAGTTGTCAGACCTCAGCTGGCTCGACTCCGTTATCGCGTAACTAGGCTTCCCAAGTACATGATTCTGCACATGCGACGGTTCACCAAGAACAATTTCTTCGTGGAGAAGAATCCGACCTTGGTCAATTTCCCGGTCAAGAATTTGGAACTGAAGGACTACATTCCGCTCCCTGTGCCCAAAGAAAATGAGAAGCTTCGATCAAAGTATGATCTTATTGCCAATCTTGTGCACGATGGGAAGCCAGGGGAAGGTTCATACAGGGTTTTCGTTCAACGAAAATCCGAGGAGCAGTGGTATGAGATGCAAGACTTGCATGTGGCAGAAACCTTGCCTCAGATGGTTGCTCTGTCTGAAGCTTACATGCAAATTTATGAGCAGCAAAGCTAGTCGTTAGGAATTTTTGCACTGATGTTGTAATAACAGTTTTCTTGACAGCATGATTTTGTCACATATACCAGTGGCTGAGCCACATTTTTGCCTCGTAAAAGAATGACTTCCTTTCCTCCTCAATCACACTAATCGAGAACGAAGGTGACCACGGCATAATTGTAAACTTCCTGCGCGTGTAACAGCAGGCCCGACCCAATGGCCCAGATATACTTTTAGCTATTCAATTGTAAGAGTTTCACCTCTCTTTCGTTTGTTTCCCATACGAAACAAGGATTCTATGTCTGTGCTCGTGACCAGCAATGTATTTAGAATCTTTGCAGGGAATTCTGGATGACTGTGAAGAAACTGGGCATATCACTCAGCCCATTATATTTGTCACTTAAAGCTTGCACTGCTTTGTTTGACGTCTGATTGTTTGACCTCTGATCTCAATGTTATTCTTTATCCTCACCGAATGTTTTTGGGACAACTATTCAACACTTTGGTTCTACGATTTGAAGATACATTTATCACTTTCGGGGCATGGCAAATGAAGATGGAAGTTTACTGAAGAGCTGTACAGTCACACTCCATACCAGGCTCCATGGAAGATGGAAATTGTAACAGGATAGGAACTCTATCCAGAAACTGTATACATGTAGAGAGGAAAATGAGACGACGAGTTTGTCGCACCATCGGAATGGTCTCTACATTTTCCCCAGATGAACCTTTGGACCCACGTCTGGGCATTGTGCAGCTGCTGTTCTCCAACTATAGAAAATTCCTCTGGCATCAAGAACGCGAGTCTCAGAATGAAGACTTCTCGCATGATCGATCGTCCACCGACTCGAGGCAGAGGCCCGGTTGCATGGCGAAGAGCAACGTCGTCCAAAGCAGAAGACTAGCTTCGTGAACCGACGAGGCTGAACTTCTTGCTGTAGAGTCATCAGTCTTGGCAAACGCAGCAATGAGAAATCTTCTGCACCTCGGTCTGTTTCATGGAGGTTCAGCACATTGTACCACAACGAAGGAGTACACCTCCGTCCTGTACCCGGGCCCAGATCGTACTTTTCTAGAGATACGATCCCGTACAAAGTATCGTATACATAAGAACTTAGCTAAGGAACTACGCCTTCCACGGACTTGCGAGTCGTAGCATCGTACCGTACGTGGGAAGGGCCGGAACGGGGGCATTCAATCCGGGGGCTCCGAGGGAGAAAAAGCTTCTCGTCCAACATCCTCAGTGCCCGCGAAAATTGTCGACGGATTGAATCGAAGGTTTAGGGTTCGGGGACATTTTTCCTGCTTGCGCCAGCCAGACGTTCGGGTCCGGATTCGGAGTGGAGCTTCACGGAGATTTCTTCTGCAGAGGAATCGAGCATGGAGTCGCAGGGCGATCTGGCGTCCCTCCTGAAACCTTTCCACGAGCGAGCCAAGCTTGCGGAGGTATGCTGCGATGTCTGCTGCTTGCGTGCTTTCCTATCGTACATTGGCCGCGCTCGCTATATCATTCGCAGAAGACTCCAACCCTAGGTGGCAGCTTGATCAAGTTTTTTGCGTGCCTCCAAATCGTAGACATGATCTGTTCTTCTATAGGGAATCTGATCTGAGAGCTGTGTCTGTGCTCATCTATCGTCCGTTTCAATCGCGAGGTGGTCTGAATGAAATCTGTGTTTTTTCCCAGGACCGTTTAGCGATGCTAGAAGCCGCTTTGCAGGCTAAGCAAGGTAACGACCGTAGTTCGGTGTACACATTGGAACTAGTCTGTTGAAGAATCATCAGTTGTTGAGGATGTGTAATGCAGTCGCAATCACGACTCGCTAGTTCAGACGGGCTCTCATTATAGCCACAATTTGAGCACATGATATGTCGATCGCCCTAATTCATGAGTTGGCGCTGTAGGACCAAAAGTGCCTGCAGACTCTGGAATCATAGATTCTCTGCTGGAATTGAGGGCGAAGCTGGAGACCGCGAAAGCGGAGCAACTAGCAGAGAGGAAGAAGGTAAATCAGTTATTTCATCCACATTGTATGAATCATTGCTCTCTGCGTGGTCTGGAATCGCCGTTCGATGATCGTCTTCCGGCTCCACCTTGGTGCAGGCTGAGCAGGAACTGGCAACATCTGCTTCGGAGGTGAAGAAGCTTCAGTACCAAGTTTTACATCTGAAAAGATCCTTAGAGGAGGCTGACAAGAGGATTTGCGCAGCTCAAGAAAACTAGGTTGATGGCGAGAGGAATTTCAGTTCCAGATGAGGACGTGTTCCGTAGGGGTCAGGTTTGACTTGACCGGAAGTAGCAGAGAGGAGTTGGTATTCAGCCAGGAAGCAGGGACATATCTCCCGATGGTGAGGTATCGAGTACCAAATCTGTGACTCGCAAATCTGATTGCTCCTGTAAAAGTATGGCAGGAGTGCTCGCTCGAATCAACCTTCCAGCATTCGGAAAAGTGTGTCAATAGCCATACTACTCCCACTTAGAGCCCTTGCTTCGGTTCTGCGAAGTCGAAGGGGAAGGGAAAGGAAAGGCCGTGGGGCCGTGCTGCATTAGTAAGTTTCAGATGCGGAATAATTTCACATTGCAATATTGTCCGCCATCATAAGTTTAGGCCGAATTTGCAGGCGAGTGAAACATAAAAGGTTCGCGATAAATATCTGATCAGTGTTATGTCTCTTTCCTACATTCATTCAGCTGCTGTCCCGAAGCAAAACTGTTGGCCCTCTGTGATGGACATCTTACCCGTACTGTTCGGTGAACTAAACCGCTTTACTTGCCGAAGTCCATGGCAAGGACGACTTTGGTGCAGGTCGTTCGTCGTACACGATGTTTCGGGTTTCTTGTCCACTGTTCGTTCGTAGAGGTACCAGGATTGTGAGATTGGTTTTGGTGGTAGCTTCGAATTGTTAGCTTTTACCCTGAAGTTCGCCTGAAACATACTCTGGATCAAGAACTATCACATGGCCCAGGGAAAGAATGAGGACTCTTCGCCGGTATTCGCTCAGGACGAACCACTTGTGAGTTGGTCTGTAAAATTACCGAGCAGGAAAATGGAAGGTTGCAGAGTACAGAAAGCACAAAAGTTGTCCACGACCCAGCAAGTTGATCTTTTGAGGACCTTTCGCTTTCTGTCGACGTCTTCATCACATTCTCATAAAGCTTCTTCTCTACACGCGCTCGGTCGCCTGCTCGCTTCTCATCCGAATGGCTGTGCGGAGACCGTACACCTCTTTCCGTGAGAAAAAGCTCACTCTTCGTTATCCACGATGTTCCATTTTCTGCGTCGTACGTCGTCGAGGTCGCTTCATGTCAGAGCCTACAACCGATCGTAGAGGGATCCCCTGATGCGACCCAGACTTGTGTCCCGTCACTCGAGCAGCATTCGCTCGCTACCTCCGGGGAAGAGCATATCCATGCTCTGAAGCCCTTCGCGAACGATGCAGCAATGAGCAGAACCAATTCGGCTGAGACAGAAAAGGACATCAGGTAACTTTCTTTCCACTCCAAGCGATGTGTCAAAATCGAGTACCAAACGGGGTCCGAATCTCAATCGAGGTTGACTCCGCGGTACGACGGTGTCGTTTTGCGCCCCCCACCTCGTCTGGCACTCGGCCTAGAGCTTTGTCAATACGCGGAGGAGTCGATCGGCTCTCACGACTACCACAGCGGAATCTGAACAGAGCTTCCCCTTCTTCGAAAGATCGGATCGAGCTGAGCTGAGCTTCGCACGAACGCTCCTGCCGACAGTCTGCGCGTTCGTTTCTTCCTATCTCCCTCTCACTGTACATCGAATTCCAGTTGTAGAAGGATATGCACTCCGATCGAAAGCCCGAATCCCGAATCCGTCCGTGCCCGTCGTCGATCGCGCTCGCAGCTGTTGAATGTTCCAACATTCGCAGCCTCCGTTGCGCCACCTTCGTCGCTCGAGTGGGTCGAGCATGAATCGAGCCCCCCGCGGAAACAGAGCGCGGCCCGCCGGAAGTCTCATGATGGATGGCGTCAGGCCGACACGAGTGACGCATGCGGCAGTCGTAAAGTGCGTTTATGGCAGGTCCACAGAGAGAGAGAGAGCCTCGGGAGCACGGTGGTCGGTGTTCGTTGTCCCGCCGTCGACGCTCTCGCTCGGATCGGGGTCAGGCTCGGGATCGGGATCGGCACCGGCATATCTTGGGGGCGCCGGCGACGATCGGATATTTTGGCCTCGGACATCTTCCTCTCTGCCGCCGACGACCGGTCCCGTGGCTACTACATGTCAAACGCCGAGGAATCGCAGCCGTCTTTCCGGGGACCTTCGTGACCCCAACACCTGTGCCCGCTGCCCTGCCCGCTGCCCGGCCTGGCCTTGGCTTCCCAAAGTCCAAGCGCCCGCCTGCCGTTGGGGGCTGATGAGTTGGGAAAGTGGCAAAGATTTCAAACGCGGCTCATCATTCCCGTTTCGTTAGCCCCTGCCTGAGTTCGCCGGGGCTTCGCGCATTTCCGATCTTCCCCTAAGCCCTTCTGCCGATGCATGAACCTCGTTCGCCGCATCCTTTCACTGCATTCGGTCCTGTCATCGATTTCCACCATCTTTCGCTTCTGGACGAGGGGTTCTCAGTCGAAAGGTCCGCCCCGCACCACTCACTCACTCACTCGTAATAGAAAGCAAAACCAGCGAACGATGCGACGATCGCATCGCATCTCACAATTCAGAAACCGAGCGGGGGGTTCCGTGGGGCTAGCCCCCGGTCGTTTCGCATGGGGACATATCTTAATCAAACCTTCTCTTCCTTCCTTCCTTCCTTCATTCATTCATTCTTCCTTCCGCCACGAGAAGTTGCTCGCTCGAATTGTCGTGTCGAAGCCGCGGGTGGCAGACGAGGTGCATTTAAAGAAGCATGTAATGTTGTTAAGTTTATCATGCTGAAAAGAAGATAGAAAGAACTATTCGAATGAGGCCCTTGCACCCTTCAGAGGCCTCCAGTTGTAGGCCAGTTATTTCTCCGATGTACGTCACCAATTTGTCATCGTCGCATGATGCTCATTGAATAAAGACCAGATTGACATGCTGTAAATTCATCACTTCTTCTCACCGTATGACTGTAATCCAGGACTTATCTTACGTGCATATGTATAGAAATGAATTTGTTTGCTCGTGAATGAATCGAGTTCACATGATGAGACCGACTTTCATCACTATACAGACAACACAGTACATGTATTTCGACGATTCCTCCCGTCTAGGGAATAAAGGTACTTGTCTACGTCGAGATATTCCAGACCAAACAGCGCTACTGGAATAGTGGCAATGTGTATGATGAATGACTCGTAGTCACATCGGAGAGCACAAAGTGCAATAATGGATCTCCTCGACCAGCTTCTCTTATTCTCTTTACATTGGAGGGACAAAAATCTGGCCTCCTAATCTAATCTATCCTCCTCTAATCTTACCTTTCAACTCCACAGAAATTGAACAAAATGGGGAGGAATAATAGAATTCCGTATTCAGTAAGAAATCCAACAAGTTCTTCACACATGCCACAAGATTGATGAGCTTGCATTCCGTATTATTAGAGAAAGTAAACATGTGAAAGAGCATCGGGTGATGCTTGTCGAGATGCTCCTGCAGTATCTCGGGATCTAGCCTTCTCCCCAATCGGGCCCCTTCATGGAAGACTGGATTGGGGATTGGGGAGAGGCAAGCTTTTTCCTGTATCGCTTGGGGGTCGGGGGAAAAAAAGAAGAAGACAAAGAAAGTCGTGCATGATACAATGGTGAGGACAACTGCTCGACCAAAACGAGCATCTGGAACGAGGATCTCGAACTGGTGAAATATGCCTCGAAAAATCTGGCGGGGCGTGCGGGGCGACCGAAGGAAAATCGGGAGAGCTTTTCGGAGAGTGGAAGCTCGGGGAGCCGAAGAACTGACGGCCCGTGGTGCATATCTCGGAGGCCGCACGCCGAAGGCAGACACGTGGCCGGGAGTCAGTGTCGCGGAGAGCCATCGAGTTTAGCTGCTGGAGCACGAGGATCTCGAGCATCTCTAAAATACGCACGATCGCCGTGTACAATACAGTGGGGCATCGAGGCGACTTTGTCCCGGGGTTATGACAAGACAGAATAAACATCAAGTCAGCCTTCATCAACTTCGACGGCACCCACTTCGCGTAGAATCTCCACAGTGCGAGCGAGAGCTGAAGAGAAATAAAGCAGGCCAAAATCGGATTTCGGGATCCACACACAATATTTCTGGTAATCTTGGTCACCTACTCGAGAAGGGGCGCTCGCCACGAAATCATAGCGGAATGAGCGAGCCATGAACGCTCGCCTTTGGCAAACTGACATGTCTTATCTCGCGAGCAATGATAGCCAGAATGACGGGGCCCGAGTCAAATCTCGAATCAGCCAGAATCAGCAAACAGCCTGCGTCTGGACATGCAGTGAGCCGGTTCGCATCGACCCTAATCTTCCGGGCGCCAGTCCCTGATTAGTATGCCGGATGGGCTCGTCAGCTCGCTGGCTGGCGGGCGGCTTAGCTGGTTACGACCCGTAACGTGGCACCAGATGCACGAGCCCCGCGAGAATTACCATCCCCCCTCCATCGCTGCTGCACACAGAAGCATATTCCGGAAGAATTCTCTGGATCAACTCCATTACTCATTCATTTCCCGAGGTGCCAAAATACATACGAATCTCAGACCTCCTCACTGCCTCCCTGATACGGCTCCCCGATCCAACCTGCTGTCGTTTCGAGAGGATTCAAGTGAGGCGCTTTTATTTTCCACCTTCCTTTGCTTTTCCTCCTCTGCTCGTGTAGCTCTCTCGTGTGCAAATTTGGGAAGAATCACGAAAAGATGGTGCCTCAATATTCTGCTCCGAGAATTTATACTCTTCGGAGAGAGAAAGGGTAGGACGATTTCTGGTGCGTTCCCATGCATGATCAGCATGAGTAGCTTATCGATATAAGTGTCACCCAATTTAGCACTGGATTTGCGCACCATTTGTGACACCCTTCCCAACTCCAGAACATCACGTCCTCGTGATTCGCAAACCTACAGCAATCCAATCTTCGTGTAAGCATCGTCGAGAACATTGTGACCACAAACGACACCTTCTCAACATATCTTGGCTGAGAGTTATTGCTCATGGGCTCAGAATACTCGCCATAACCTCAAGACAACGAAACAAGTCGCGATCGCGATGTGATCATTGATATGAATGTTCGTGTTCATGCAACTTCTCTTGTCCAAATTTATGGCCCTGTGTTTGTGGAATCCTAAATTCTATCCTCGTGTTATAGAAAAGGAGAGACGTGAGAAGAGGAGAAAGTCAAACGATATGGATGGTGGTCCAGACAAGGATAACAGGAGAGAGACAACCAAAAAGTCGATGATGGTGGTGGATTCGCGACATGTGGGTCTGAGACACCCTTTCGATCGTAAAATCGACTTAATAATTTTCTCCAAACAGAGTTATATGCAAAATATGTTGTTTGGGGGCCCATTTCTTGTCATAAAACTCACAAACGCGTATCAGCTAGAAATCACAGTTTGACTGACTCCAGTTACTATTTTATTGCGATTCATGGCCATCACCAGTCTTGCATAGAAACAGTACACAAACATTTGTGCAATTATCCATAAATACGATCAGAAAGTGACGTCCCTTTGGATTTGTCTCTCTGTCAGTCGTTGTCTTTGTACGTGGCTTTGTTTTGGGGGCCGAAAACTGTAAATGCGGCCGTGGTCTGCGAGGGAATAAAATACATGTGTCCGTCTCTGGGGCTCTGAATGACATGGAATGGAGAGCCGTATAATCTCTCGAGGACTCTATTCTGAGAGGGGGAGGGGGTTGGGGTTAAGTTAAGTGGCAAGGCAAAGCCACTACTTGCTCCTGGGCTGCCATGAGGCATGCATGCATGCGCATGGATCAGCCCGGGCTTGGCCGGTCTGGGCGAGGTTCGGATCGGGTCGGGGCTGCATGCATGCATGCATGGGGGATTGGGGGTGGGGGATGATGGATGGATGGAAGGATGGGCGGATGGGCGGATGGTGCCGGCCCGAAGAAGAACCTGCCCCCCGCTTTTCGCCGTTCCTGCCTTTCGCACGACGGAAACGTCCAGAAAGAAAGAAAGCGAAGCGAACGAAATGGTGGGGGGTTGGGGGCGTAACCTGCGAACTAATGAACGAACGAACGAAGGAAGCAGCAGCAGCACCGTCGTCGTCGACGGGCGAATCCAGGAGCGACTGTAGGAAGCGCGGAGGTGGCAGCCCATCATCGGCAATCTGCGGCCGATGGCCGAGGCCTCATCATGACGTGCCCCTTGGCGTGACGCGTCACGGCGGACCTTCTTATTGCGCTCAGCGGTGGCGCCACCAGGCCCAGGACACCCGTCCCGCCAGCCAGCCAGTCAGTCCGCCCGTCAGTCCCGTCGTCGAGCTAGCCCCACCCCCAGCCCCTTCCCCCCTCCCCCCACCCCCCTCCGAAGAGCTCTCTCCTCCGGCCTCGGCCCTTGTTGTAGTATTGTTCGTACCCCCTGACCCACGCAGACGCCGGTGCTGCTCGGATTTCCGAGACGAGACGAGACGAGACGAGCCGAGCGCTGTTCGAGAGCAGAGCGAAGCCACGTACCCCAGCGCTCTCTCACGCCCACGCTAAAGCTATAGCGAGCGAGCGAGCGAGCGAGCACAGTCGGTGCGGCTGCAGCGTTCAATCCGATCAGATGCGAGCACACAGACGACACTGAGAAGGAGTGAGCTCGAGAGACGAGACAGAGAGCAGGCGATCGAGTCTCGGCCGGAGAGACGGAGAGTGGCAGCCAAGACTCTCTGAGCGAGTGAGTGAGAGAGAGAGGCGAACTAGACTTCGCTGGTGCTGTCTGTGCTGCGGAGGTAGGGAGCGAGGGAGTGTGATCGATTCGTGACGTGCGGGGCGAGAGGCGAGCAAATCGCGAGAGATTTGCAGCTTGCGGTGCGAGCAGCAGCGGCGGCACCGGCAGCAGTTGCAGCAGCAGCAGCAGCAGCAGCAGCAGCAGGAGCAGCCGGGTAGGTTACGAGTGTGCGTCTCGATCGAACGAACCAACGGGGAGGAGACCCGGAGATCGAACGAAGCCGGACGTACGGGAAGTACATTCGCCCCGCGAGTCGAGCGAGCGGAGGGCGGGACGCAAGTACGAGCGAGCGAGTGGCGTCAAGGCGATGGAGGGAGCGTAAATGAGTTGGATGCTGCTGTACAGGAGGGTGCGCCAGAGCGAGCAGGCCAGGAATTACAAGCGGCAACCACAATGGTAAGCGATCAATAGCAGCAGCTCCCCTCCCCCTCTCGGGACGAGCTCGTCGACCCCACCCACCTCTCAGCGCACAAGCGGCCGAGGGCGTCGAGCGAGCCATTAAAAGAGGCTAGTGCTGTAGTCAGTCAGGCAAGCAAGCAGGCAGGCAGACCCCGAGGCAGACCCAGAGGTCGCAGGGCGCAAGGCGAGGAGGATTGATGGATATACCAGGCCTTCACGACATGGATAGGTACGAGCTCGTACGCGATATCGGGTCGGGCAATTTTGGCGTAGCTCGACTCATGCGCGATAAGAAGACCAGGGAGTTGGTCGCTGTAAAGTACATCGAGCGCGGCGAAAAGGTAGGACTCATCTCTGTCCGATGAGATTGCTCTGTGGATTGCTTCTGATTTGTGATTCGAGCTCGGTCTGCGATTCCGGTTTACCGATGGCGCTGAGTGTGTGCTTCCTCTCTTCCAGATCGACGAGAACGTGCAGAGGGAGATTATTAATCATCGCTCTCTCCGACATCCGAACATCGTCCGCTTCAAGGAGGCACGTAGCTTCTGACGCCAATCCCTCTGGATCTTCTTTGTCGTCTGGCGGTTGTCAATTGTGTGCACCTGCGCTGTCTGACATGTGATGGTATGGTGAAATTGATCGTCTCCACCACTTGATTGCCGACGAGGGCAGGTGACTGATGTCTCTGGTGCTACAGGTCATGGTCACCCCGACGCATTTAGCTATCGTCATGGAGTACGCCGCAGGTGGCGAGCTCTTTGAGCGCATCTGCAATGCTGGTCGCTTTAGTGAGGATGAGGTTCGTCGCCCTGCTCCGATTTCTGCTGTTTGACTTCAGGCGCTGTTTTGCCCTCGGCCTTCTCAGAGCCTAGAATCGATCTCTCCGTTTATGGCAATGACAAACGAGAGCAGTAGTCGACGAAGCTGATTTTTTCGTTGATTTGCAGGCAAGATTCTTCTTTCAGCAGCTTATATCTGGAGTCAGCTACTGTCACTCAATGGTAAATTTCACAGACCTTATCTGGAACATGGTCTGAGTGGTGATGACTGTGATAAGCATGAAGTGTTCGGCTGCATCCGAAGGGAAGCAGCAATGTTGATTTTAATATCTCTAACTCTCGTTCACGTCGCAGCAAATTTGTCATCGAGATCTGAAGCTGGAGAACACTCTTTTAGATGGCAGTCCTGCACCACGTTTGAAGATTTGCGACTTCGGGTATTCAAAGGTACTGCATAGTCGTCCACTCTCACAGCAGAGGTGTCCAATTCCATTCCAAAATGTCTTCGTGCCCTCAAGGTCTGCAGCCTCGAGCCTCTTCCGTTGTGGCGCTAACACCGTTTCGACGTGGGTTTTTGCATTTCGAGATGAACAGTCATCTATTCTCCATTCTCAACCGAAGTCCACCGTCGGTACACCTGCGTACATAGCTCCGGAGGTGCTGTCGAAAAAGGAGTACGATGGGAAGGTCAGGACAAATGGCATCTCTGCATGCATAGAGACGGAGAATTTAATTTGCTCGTGCTCTTTTGGCCTCTCAGTAGCGTCTGAGTCGAGGACTGGATGAAGAGTCACTTTCTCACCATTTTCATGTTCGTGTGGAAAGGTCGGAAGGATGTTTCAATTTTTTCCCGACGGTAATCCGAGTTTGAGTAAACCGCCCGCTTTTGCATCATATTCACTTGCGCCCGCCTGTCTCAGATTGCAGATGTTTGGTCGTGTGGTGTGACTCTTTACGTGATGTTGGTGGGAGCCTACCCCTTCGAAGATCCTGAAGATCCTAGGAATTTCAGGAAGACGATTGGGGTAAGCAAGCATCCGCCTAGGCATGTTCCTGAGAGTCAGAATTCCTGAGGAGCGCATGGAGCTCATAGCTGAATCCAGCATCTAGGGCTGGTGTGAGGATTCGAGTTTCTGGGTGTGTTCTTCTCTTCCCAGTATTTTGTTGTGGTGCCCCATTTGACGAGGTGTGTGTGCTTTTGTGGACCAACATCTGGAATTCACAGCGGATCTTGAGTGTACAATACACAATCCCTGATTACGTGCACATATCGAACGAATGCCGGCAACTACTGAAACAAATCTTCGTGGCAAATCCAGCCAAGGTGAGCCTCCAAATTTGCTGCATATGTCGTTGGACAATCATCCTTTCCCTAGCAGTTTGTGAATAATTTTCATTGGTGTGAATGAATGAGTTCTGAGTGTGCGATTCTTGGGTTATGTGACAGAGAATCAGCATATCCGAGATCAAAAATCACGAATGGTTTTTGAAAAACCTGCCAGCAGACTTGATAGACGGGTCCAATCTGAGCTACGTGTTCGAAGATCCGAACCACCCGCCGCAAAGCATAGAAGAGATCCACAGGATCATCAACGAAGCGAGAACATGCGGAGCAGGGTCGGGAATGGGATCATTTCTCGGCGACTCGGGGTTGGATGGCGACGATATGGATCTGGAGAACGACGCGGATCCCGATGTAGACAGCAGTGGAGAATTTGTTTGTACCATGTAGATCATCTTGCAATTTGGCGTTCTGTTTGCGGTGATGCATGGGTTCTACTCAAACCGAGCAGGTGTTGTGCCGCTGTGAGGCTTTATCTAGACACTAGTCTAATGTCATCTGCTAACGAGTGATATAATGCAGCCATAATCACCTTGTGCGCTGATTAAGTGCAGGACGAGTGACAGACCCAGTGGCTTGTATCCTTATGAACCTCCTGATCTCCACTGCCGTGCTGATGGGGTGGGCTTTACAGACATCTTCCTGTGTCAGCGCCGCCAGCTGTTCTCCGTCATGGGCAGATCACTGCGTGCGTGCACGGTTTCCCAGCAGGAAGTTTGTGGGGTCATCATGGTCGCTGCAGTTCTGTGCGCACCCAAGTTATTATATCCCAGCTGCCGATGCTGCTATACATAGGAAGGGCTTTCTCGCAGCCCTGCCATCGGCCACCGGCCTGTCTGGGCTCTTGAACTCTGCCTTGATGCAGTAGTCAGGGCATTCAGTGTTTTCCCGACCTTAATGGATTGAGTCTAGCAACTCCAATGATAGGCCCCTGTAATGTGCGGAGGTTGTTGCAAGCATCTCGTGTACACAATATTTTAACCAAAGTTTTCTTGCGGTTCGAGCTTCTCTAGGTGCGCGAGCCTTTAATTTGCCTTTCGTTGTACAGACGGTGCCCCGGACAGATCGGAACAACGACGGATTTTTATCTTGTGTGACCACTTTACTATTGTATTGCAGTATTTTGTTTTCTCACCGATGCCAGCCAGGGCAGCACGATGGGTCTGATTGCTTGGAATCCATTACTCCTCGATTATAATTCTTCGGTCTCTCTATCTATCTCTCTCGAGCCAGGACGGCGTTGCTGTGGTCGACACTGACGACAATCTCGTATCGAATACGAAGCCATCTCGACATGAATGTGTCGACGAAGTTGTGCTCTTTCTGCTCTTCGATGGACGTATGCTATGAGCTGATATGTCGCAACAGAGCGAGTGATGATGTGTTAAATATTATGGTGATTGAATTCTCACTGAATTCGCTGGTGACAGTCCACCCTTCAGTGCAATCCGAAATGCTATGTATGCAGAAGACACGGTGAATGAAGTGAGGTGAGATTTGAGGCGCAATGGTCAACCATCTGCTGAAGTCTTACGACGAGTGACCTTTTACATATTATCATATCATCATATTTGAGGAAATCATTATGTTTGGAAGCAACATCTAGGCTCTCAGTGGTGATGTTGCCCTTCTCTCCTGTATTGTATGCTATTAGGCAAGGTTGAAAACATTCACAACGTGATGTGAGCATATCAGTCGCTGCTATTGTGGTGAATGACGCCCAAGCTGTGTCTAATGCTTATTTAACACTTTTTCTGTATGTTTGCAAGTTTTACTCGACTGTAATACTGCATTAAATGTATAATTCTCTCAACAAATAACTGTGAATCTGCAAAAGTACTATTCCCACTTAAAATCTTAGAATTTAAGATAACGTGCTCACTAGTTTCATGGTACTATCAATGTATTATTCATCTATGATCGAATCTTTTTGAATGTTTACCAGCAATTTGCAGTCTACACAGTTAAAAGCTAAACGTCACTTCTCCGTGATCATAAGTAAGCCATTAAGAACACTACCAGTACGACGTTCACTAGTTCTGTCAATGTAGCAGCCATTAAACAAAAAGTTGCTGTAGAATTACTCACCCTTGAAAATTGATATGCGAAAATGCTACTCAAGAACGTTATGACACATATACTCTACAATCTTTCATCTCTAGTTGACTTTTGTACCTGAGCGTTAATTTTGCAAAAGATCATAGAATGAGCTTGAAAAAGCCAAGATTGTCATTGCTGAAAGTAACTCTAGAGCTCGCAGTACGCGATTAGTGAAACATCAACGGAGAAAAACAAAGTGGAGAAAAACATCTGTTAGTTATACTGGTAAATAACTTCATTTCACTCATTCGCCCCCTTTAATTAAAATCTCCTCAGATATAAAAGATCAAGCGTCGTAAACCGGCAATTACTTGAGTTCAAATCCGAATTTTGAAAATTTTTAGTTAACCTTTTGGGCCTCTATTACAAGATATACAAGATATTTCCATTGTGAGATAAAAAAACATGTCATCAATACAGTAAAAAAAAAAACCCTTCAAGACCTTATAAACCTGTACATGAGTAATATCATTGTGTACTTGACTTCTTTTGGTGAAAGAAACTACGCATCAAACCACACAAATCAACTTCACATACAACACTTAGACGAGAATCTAAATACTGGTTGTAATCCCAAAACCCAGTGATGAGATCTTATAAGATGGTAATAACTAATTGTGATCTTTAATACTAGGTGATTATGGTGTGATTAGCATATAAGGGAAGCATTTCAACTGTTACTTATTTTTAATCATAATGTATATTCTTGAGTCTTCGTTTTGACACATACATTTTTTCATTTCCAGAGTGTTGACTTAATACAGATTATCTAACTCATTCTGGGATGTTATATATTTCTCAAAACATCAAACAAACAACAAAACTGTCATAGATAATAGATGAGATAATACAACTGAATCTTTAAAGAGTGATTTAAATTTAAGACATATATTTTATGTTTTGTTAACAATCATATCACAACAAGACAAAAATCCCCGTAGTTGACCGGTGGGGACGGCTTGTAGTCTGGGTCAAATTCTCATATTGTTCAAAGATTTTAACTTACTCAATCTTTTATAAAAATATATTGGGGGCGGCTAGTTATATCTCACCGGGAGCTAATTAGCCATCATCCTACTATAAGGACGTCACCCATTGGTTCACTCGGATTTTAGGGTTCCCTGCGGTGAAAAAAAAACTCAGTGAGTTTCCGGTATTTCTGATCGATTTTTTTTTTCCCAAATCTAGAGCATATTGGTGACTAGCATTTTATAGTTTCACAAGCCCTACATTTTCATGCTCCATGAAATCGATTCTACTCCCAAGTTCATTAGACACCAAGAGCACTTCCAAAATGTGTCCAGCTTGAGATCCGAACAATAGTTGATCCTCGAGTATAAGCCAAACAACTTTATGCAACCAGCATCTTGGTCGACTGAACCAGTAGCTCAATCAAAAGCAACACAAAGTCGAATGAAGTTATCACCCGCAATAAGGAAGCTACATGGGGTAATTTTACAAACTCGGATGGGAGAACTCACTGGTTTGAATGTTATAGAGTAAACGGTTAAATTTTAAAGCCGCTGCGATTTTGGTCCAGCCATAAACATATGAACTTTTTAAGAACCTAAGCCACCTCACTTAACTTAACCAATATAACAGCATGTATGAGGGCAGTTTGGAATTGACCAATAGTTTTTTTTTCACCGCATAGATTCTATGACCAATGATTCTCGGTGATCCAATGAGTAAGGTCCTTATAGTAGGATGAGGGCTAATTAGATGCAGGTGAGTGATAACTAGCCGCCCCCAATATATTTGACATTTATACTTGTCGTTGTTTCAATATTTGAATGTTTTCTCATTCCTATTCACAAATTGACAAGTAATGGACTTAGATTTGATTGCATTTTGTCTAGCAAATACTAAGGCGTAACAAACTCTTTGTAGAATTCTAAAATTGCAAATCTATTCAATAAAAATGATTTTAAACTTGCACATGTTATAATTGAATAAAATGAATATAATATTTTTATAAATTTTTTCAATCCTAAACTTAAAATTGCTAAATTTTCGAAATAAACATAGGTATAAATCATATAATGATCTTAGAATATATTGTAGCATTATGTATCAAACGATCTATTTGGTAAATTTTAGTTGACTTAGCTATGATGAATGCTTAAAATGTAAAAATCTATAAAAACTTATGAAATTTATTTGTTGTTCAAAATTCATATTATGAACAAAGAGAAGATTATTTGATAGAACCTTGGGTAACATACATATTGATAACCATAATCGTATCCCATCGAACGTCACTCGTTATCCAATTTATAATATCAATCCATCAAGAATCAATTTATCTCATGGGACCCACCGATGACACACTACACCCAAGCTATAATATCGACATAAGAAGATTAACTATAAGAAATGGAACGTGGATTAGAAAAGTCAACCGATATGTGTAATATTTTTTTTTGCAATGCGAAAAAATGTGTGACGAGAAAACTTTGAACCATAGATTCTCAGTCTCGATGTACTACACGCTGTTCAAAAAAAGTTCATAAGTTCTTTAGAACTTGTGAACACTTTCTTTTTTTGAAGATCAATCCATTGGATATGGAAGGGGATTGGTTGCAATACGTGCCAATCTTTCCTAAGATACAAAGCCAATTTTTCTGTCTTCATGACATGAGTTCTTAGAAACTTATTGGAGACTTTGTAGTTTCTTTGTTTAAAATGTTTTGATGTTGAAAGAAGAATTCTTGAATCTGATCAAATATATTCTTTCCATTCACATCATATGCCTTTGAATCAAATTAAATTTTGATACAATCCTCGTCAGTCAACGTGACATATTGTTGCTGCATGCTTCTTATGAATACTACACTACTCCATACGTACCCACATCTACGTATCCAAAAGCATAACGTGATAAATCTGTCCTGTCATCAGCTGCAAATTTACAAAATCATTCATGCAAGGAATGCCAAAGATGCACAACTTGCAAAATTTGGCAACACTTGCAACCAACTTGGAACTTGCAACCGATACTCTTCATTGCAGCATATAGTTACAAAAACTTCGTCTAGAATTTGTGTGTCGTCAGGAGGGTTCATAGGGTGAAACAATATTTGATGGATCCGAGTCAAGGCTTTCATCATCAGGTTTTTCTAAAAATTGGGTTTCAAAATTAAAATTAGGTGAAGAAATCAAGTATCGAGATGAAGTACTCAGTCATGCATACCAAGCTCAAAGATGTATTAGTAGATATATCCCACGGTTATATGGCCACTCTCATATGACAAGAAAGAAGACTTGTGTGCAATATAGAGTTTGATATCTCATCCATTAGTAGAAGTCTATTAACTCGTTGCGATTCAATATGTTCACTCATCTGCGCAAAACATCATTATGTTGGAAAGATTTAATATGGATTATTTATTATGATTATTTTTGGAAAGATTTACAAAACGTCGCAATAAGAATCTTTAGCATGGTAGTTGAGATCATACTTGGAATGTAAATTCTCAGCATTCGGATTTGATCATTATTATACATGAGAAGATTGAGAAACCAATGGGTTTATTAAGGCCAACTATAAGCCGCCGCTCTAAGAAAGTATCACTAGCCCAAAATTATTCCATGTTGAAGAAACCAATGGGTTTATTAAGACCAACTATACGACGCCGCTCTAAGAAAGCATCACTAGGCCAAAATTATTCGATGTTGAAGAGTTTGATAACGCAGATGGATCGGATGATATTATGAATTCCTAAAAGCATGAACTATTTGTTATTACATTCACTACATTTTTCTGTACTGATTAGGAACTAATAATCTAATACAATTGATTAAAACCATTCTTGAAAAACCATTCAGGTTTTTTAATTTACCCTAAATTATTTTCGACAAAAAGGGGGTTTTTGGCACCCATATCCCAATAACCCATGCTTCTTATGCAAGGTCCATCAAGAAATTTTCTCATTAACTTAATTCAGAACATAGGCTGTTTGGAATTAAGTTTCAGGCAGAAAATAACACAATAGAATAAAGTTAGCATGAACATAAAAAGCTTTTAGGTATATCCACGTGAAAAGCCAGTAAAAAATATTGCTTTATCAATGGCGATGGTACATATTTGTACACAAGGATACTAATGGGGCAGGGCGATAATCCTGGTATGTCCTCACACGACCGCAGTGTAAATAACTAGGAACCGCTGGGAAATCTCGCCAAATCTTCTCCATGTTAGCCCAAGCTCGTAATCGCTCTGAACTGTCATGTGACAATAGGAGGAATTTGTCGAGAGATTTTGACTGTGAGACAGTGGCCTCTCGACAGTATACAGACGTCCAGAGAAAGCATTCCTCCACCGTGAGACGACATCTCGTGTGCACCTGAAGCACATTTGGCCGACTTCTATGAAGAATTCAAGTTCTGTGACTCAGACATGGACAGACAGGACTGAAAATATCGTGCCACTTCTCGGTGAACACTGGGCAGTGTGTACAATTTCGCAGCGGGAGGTTTGACCATCCGGGCGAATTTCGAAATCCATAGCGAGTGAGTCTATCAATGTGCTTCGGTATTTGACATAATAACAACAGGTGTGGAGAACTGTGAAGGTCAGCATTGTACAGAGTGGACGAGATTTCGAGCTTTTGCTGTAACCTACTTGAGGAGTTTTTAGGGTGGCGCGTTTTCTCTGAGTTTCATTTCTTGAAACACTTTGGATGCGTCGTCGAGCCTGTTCGCTCGCTCGTATACACGGGACATGCTGAGGTGAATCAGATTATCGGACAAATCACCCTCAGACTTGAGCTGCTCGAAAAGTTGTTCAGCAGCCTCGATGTCACCAAAGTTTCCGTAGAGCTCCATCATGAGCCAATGGCATTCTTCGCTCAGCACATAGCCATTGGCTTTCATCTCCAGATACACCTCCTCCGCTTCCTTCATGAGCCCGAGTTTTCCGAAGGCCTCCATCACCTTGTAGCAGATGTGAGAGTCCGGGAAAAAGTCACTTTGCCGCATCTTCCGATACACATCGACCACGAGGGCGGATCTTTTGTTGCTGGCGAGAAGGTCGATCATATTCTTGAACACCGATACGTCCTTCACGTCGCCGGATTTGAACGAGCTCAAAAACAGTTTGCCCGCCTCTTCGAGCTTGCCGGCCTTGGCAAGCACATTGATGGCCGTATCCCGGGACGCCGAAGCCGGATGCTGAAGTTCTTGAAGCAGCCGCTTCGCATGAGCCATGAACCCTGCCTTCTCGTACACGACAACCATAGCTTGATACAGTATGTGATCCATGGAAAATTCGCGCGCACGAAGGCTTTGGAAGAGAAGCGCAGCCTTGTCGAACTTGCCCGTCTTTCCGTATATTGAAATGAGCGTGGAATAGGTCATGGCATTGGGCGCCACACCGCTGCTCTCCATTTTTTTCAATAACCTCGTGGCCTTCTCCTCGTTGTTCACCATAGCGAAGAGCTTCATCACGGTGTTGTAGGTCACGATGTTGGGCAGAACCCCCTTCTTCTCCATGCTGTGATACAAGCGAAAGGCTTCTGCAAGACTCTCCGCTTCTCCATAGACCTTGATCATGGTGTTGTACGTGACAACATTGCGATATACACCCAACTCCGTCATGCCCCAGAATAGTTCCTCTGCTTCTTTGACTAATCCCAATCTTCCATACACGTCTATGATCATGTTACACGTCGTGGAATCCAGAGCGACGCCTTTGGTTCTGAGTTCCGTAAACACTTCCCGTGCCTCGTCATATTTCTCTGATTCGGCATACGCATTGATCAAAACACTGTAAGTGACGGTGTCCGGTTCGATGCCCATCGACTTCATCTGTTGGAGAAGACTCTCCGCTTCTCTGTACAGTTTAGCTTTTCCAAACATGTTGATCATGGAATTGAACACGACAAGATCCGGTTGAATTCCTGAAGCCCTCAATTTCGAGAAGAGAGAGACAGCCCTTTCAAAATCCTTCACCTTTCCGGATAGTTGGATGAGAGTGCTGTAGGTGATCAAATCCGGTACAATTCCATTCTCCTCCATCTTTTGGAACCACATTAGCGCGGATTCAAATTTCCCAGCTTTCCCGAATGCACTAATCAAAGTGGAATACGTAAACTTATCGGGCTCAACTCCGTTCTGGACCATTTCCCCGACCAGCCCTTCACCGAGAGTCCACCTTCTGGCCTTCAGAACATTTCTGAGGACGATGTTGTAGGAGAAAATTGATGGTCGATATCCTCCTTTCTCGCACATCCAGTCGTGGAGAGCCAGAGATCTCTGCCAGTCCTTTTCCTGATTTAACAACGTCACCATGAGCCTGAAAGAAAGCTTTCCTGTCCACCTGCTCATGACCTCATCCAGTTCTTCAGCGCGTCCAGTTCCTTTTAGAGAATTGAGGATCTCTTCGAGGTTAATGTCATGATCTGGCTGCGGCATCCATCGCCCTGCGTGTCTTGGAGCAGCCCCGTTTCGAACATACGGAAGTCGTCTGGTGGCCTCAACGCTGGACGACGAGGAGCGTTCTATGACCACCGCTTTTACACCAGAGCGAAATTCTCGTGAGTCGGCCTGATGATCATCGAACGACGAACATGTTAGAATTCCAACACCCAGCAATAATCCAAGACGGCAGAACCGAACATTTCGGGCAAGAATGTCCAAAGCAAAAGGCAGTAGCATATGCGGGAACACGTCAACCTAAAGGCACCAAAACCTGTGAGATTACCTCGCGACCAGCTTCAGCTCGGGCACAAGTACAGTCGCTGAAAATTCTGGTGACTGCCTGACGGCCGCTGAAGGAGCCAGCATGAACCTTGCCCCACACCGACCTCGAGCTCATTACCTCCATTGTTCAGAGAATTCTGCATCAAAGGCATCAAGCAGCTCCACACGAGCAAGAGCTCATGCTCCGTGCTCAAGCCTCGGAGTCGGTTGCCCCGGTCCCAACAAGCACGAACCGCCGAACACACAACCTCACGAATTCAGCCCCTGGACGCAGCATCAGCAGCTCCACACGAGCAACAGTCTCCCAGGCCTGTTCCCATCACCGTGAACATCATCAATCAGCCCAGACTCCGCATCCCATCCAGCCGTCATCGCCATCGACTGCGACCAGCGTCCACGAGACAAGTTGCAACTCGCAGACAGCCATGACCGCGCGTGAATGGTGAAACAAAACTCACGAACGAGACCGAAGCTTCATTCCACGGCGAGACAAGGCGATCACTGGCTCTCACAGTGGACCTGTCAGACCTGACACAGACCTCGTAAAGCCATGGCGCCCGCCGAACTCTGCGCTCGCTTCTCGCGCAGCAGCAGCAGCAGTCTTCCCGTCGAGCATCGACCTCCGATCCGTCAACGATCCCTCTCTCGCAGAAGCGACGAAGAAGGCCGAGTCGCCAGGCTCATAAGCGCCACACTCCACTTGTCACTGGCCACGCGACCAGGTGACTGTGCAGATAGAGAGCGCTCGCCCTCCAACCGCGATCTGCCACGTGGGTTATCCGTGGGTCGAAATACGAGTCACCACCTGCCACGTCGACCCCGCCCCCCAGGGTCCTTGCCTACGATGGTCGCTCGACGAGGCGGCATCATAAGAACGCTTTTGAAAGCCGGGCTGGGGCGTCGTTGTCGTCCCTGAGGGGGAGGAGGAGGCGGTACAGGCAGAGAGGCAGAGGGAGACGACGACGAGGAGGAAGAGGAGGGCGCCGGGGGGACGAAGAGGAGCGCAATTCGAGTTGCGAAAATGAGGGCGATGATGATGCGACCGGCGGCCGTGTCGCAATCGCAATCGCGATCGGGCGCGAAGACGTTGGTGGCCGCGCCGCCGTTCGGCAAGAGCAGCGGCGGCGTCGTGGTCGTCGTGCCCGTTGCGCAGGGGCGCCACTGGGAGGAGCTGAAGAGCGGCAAGGGGAGCGTATCGTGGCGCCTGCGCTGGCGCGTGCAGCCGGCGCGGCACCAGGCGCACCAGGGCTCCGGCTGGCGCGTCTTCGCCGTGCAAGCGCCGACCACCAAGCGCAATGTGAACTGGATCCTTGAATCCGTCGGTACGCCTGGCGCCCCTCGATACAAGCCCAATATTTCGTTCAGAGGAATTTAATTTCAGAAGATTTCATCTCTCTTAGCATCTTCGAGCATATGTGAGCATCGTTCGTTCTTGATGTTTATGGAGCCGATGATTTCATTCAGAAGATTTCATTTCTCTTAGTATCTTTGAGCATCTGTGAGCATCGTTCGTTCTTGATGGGGATGGATGTTCTCGACGTCGATCGCTTCGAGGCTTCGTTTCCAATCCGGAGCTTGGGGCTTGCGCCGAGCTCCTCGGGTTGAGCCGGTGGTCGTTTGGTCTGGCAAGAATGCGTTCTGCCGGCGTTCATGCTGCTTGCTACTTACTGTAGGTGTCGTATGTGGAAGTTGGAATTGAGTTGAAGGTGTTGTTCTGTGCAGGGGATGGTGATTGCGCCCATTTAGACGCTGCCGTGCCTCTTCCTGGCTCTTTCGAGTTGGCCTCGGTAAATATGATTCTCCGACGCGACGCTGATTGTCTTTGAGTCTTGGCAAGCGATGGAGTTCTCTTCGCTGATTGCTTTTTTTGATGAGTGCAGGAGTCTGCTATTGTGGGGCGTGCCGGGGGTAAGGCGGACATTTTACTCGGGGTTGCCACGGGTATGCACCGAATCGCAAACTTCCTACTTTACGATACCTTCTTGATTCAGACTTGCCAACATCTAATGCACTACATGAGTTCCTTTTGGGCTACCGTCGTTGACGGCTTTCACAATCAAGATGGAGGATTGTGGTATCCGTTATCGTGAGGTGCAGGGGCAATATTCCCCTGTGCGAATGAATTATTCGGAACATTTTCCTGGAGAAAAGCAGATACATGTCAAGTATAATTCACTGAGATGCTATCAACCATGCACCAAATAGCTATGGTTTTTAGCGGGGTATAGCAGAAAAAACCAGTTGCCTTCCCAGGTCATTGACAAGTTACCTTCTTTAAATGCAGTTTCGTCAATGCATGCCCGTTTGGAGAAAAGAGGGGATGTTTTGTACGTGACCGATCTTGACAGCACCAACGGAACCTACCTCGATGGAAGGAGGATTAGGCCTGGAGCTGTCACTCCCGTCGATCCAGGAAGCATCCTAGTATTCGGTAAGCATCATGTCGTTCGCCTTTGTCTAGCCAAGTCAGACCAGCCTACAGTTAGTTGTTTTCGTTAATTCTGGTGAGTTCTTGGCGCCTTCCGTAGGTCATGGCTAGCAAGCTCTTACCTACAATACATCTAAAGGTCTTTTGTGAATCCGAACTGCGGGAGCACTAGGTGAACCAGTGAGGTTTCTCGTCAATCGCATATCCCCTTAAGCATTGGATTGATGTGACTGGTTTTGAACCAAGTCTGGGTACTAGAGGAGCCACAAGAAAGCCTCTAAAAGAATTGGTTGATAAGGGTGCCTTCAACGTTGTCGAGAAAATACGTGAGGTGTCTGCTTGTAGTGACAGTGATTTTATTTTTAATTATCTCCCTCAACGATATAATGCAGGTGATGAGCATTTGGCAGTTTTCCGAGTGGGAGTCGAAGAGGCGAAGGAAGCAGAACCTCAAGAAAGTGAAGTATCCGAGGAGAGCCCTTCGGCGTAATGTTTTCCTTGCATCTTATCCTTTGAAGGCCAGAACTAGTTGTTTGCTTATTGTCAACCTTGGGCGGTCGAGCTTCTTGTGAAGAAGTCTGAAGTATTGTGCGAGCGGTTAGTCGGTCGTCTACACCACTCTTCTGCAAGGAGATTTCTTCTGAAAGAGTATCGGTCACTACCTTTTAAACGCGACGTACTAATGCCTCAGACCAGTTATAAAATATTGTACATAACAAACGAAGTCCGATCTCGACGATTTCTCCTCTCCACTCGGTTGCTTGTGAGTGGTGTGATGTTTTGATGGGTGTGCTTAAGCTCAAGCCGGGAATGTGGGTGTGGACATCAATGTTAGGAAGAATTTTTAGCCGATATGATGTGAATGAGTTGTAAAAATACCAGAAAGTGTTTGACTTGATTTGATTATAATTAGCAGGTTTTTTTTTAACAAATCATGGAATTGGTATGATTTCATACCAATCCCTCGAAAGTTAAAAGAAAATTTTGAAGAAAGTTCTTGCAAAAGCGTGTACAGGACTTGCGAGGAACCATGCCTTCATTGTGGGTACACTGTGAACTCAATATGGCGTACGCAAGGAGTGGAAACTGTAAATCCAAAACAGACGAGAATAAAACTCAAGCTCCGAAGTTACCGTACTGTCGACGGAAATGACTATAGTAAGGCTGAGTAGGAGGGTAAAGAGGCAGCAGTGGATTTTAATCCATACCGTGTGCAGTACAAACAGTAATGTGGGGTGTTCGCGTAAAGAAAACCGCCACCATGGCATTAACATGTCAGAGTGAAGACGTGGAAAGACCTCAAGTTATTGTATGACTGAAAGTAGAGTTGAGTAACCTATGCAATGTGAAGATATGACGTGAACCACATCTCTAGCCACGCATCTCTTAAATTCGCAAACCATACTCTTACGTTCCTGATTAGCTTGGATCGCATGAAGGCACGCACGGAGGTATCGCATTAAATTTCGAACCAAATTAGATTGTAGTCCTTTGCCGTCCATCAATGGAAGGACCAGAAGATAAGTGTTAAGAGGAAGGAAGCGTCAGTCTGGAGATCGGAAGGTGGAATTCAACCGCACCATCACAGCCAATAGGAGGTAAAAATGATCTGGGTGCAAGAACTTTATTTCCCTGTAGCTATGTGTACTGCTTCGCCCTGTGGACACTGCCATGAGGAAAACATAGATCGTTTCCATCTGCAATGTTTCTTCATCTGACACGCTATGTTTTTTTCTTAAGTTTTGAACGTTCACAACACGATGTCTCGCCCCCACCGAAGGTCTGCACATTTCATGGTCACCCACTTCTGGGCACCACACGCTCATTTCCAGTGCTGCATGTCCACGAAGGACCGAAAGCTGTGCGTGCACGGGAAATGTGACCCCATGCAAGTAATTGTCATGTCTCTTGCGGAGCTCCAAAAGCACACTCGCCATCATCCTCTTGAACAAATCCGTCTACTGAAGAGGCAAAGGCAAAGGGAGTCCTCTCCTCGGATGAAAACTCGGGCGTCAATTCCTACACTTGTGGCGTACCCTGATGCACACAAGCTGGAGCAAACTGCCCCTCGCCTGATAACGCATGACAAGAAAGCCACTGGATTTCGGAGTTGGAGGTACAGTACCGAAAGTCAGTCCACGTGGCTCGATCTTCTGACCAATCCTGACGAAAAGAGTGCAGTACATGTCTGGCAGTAACGGTACGTACTGCTTACAGTACTCCAGTCCACCCTTTGCTGCCGAAAAAGGTGGGACGGAAACCGGATTTAACGGATGGAGATGAAACGGTTCGGTCCGGAAGAAGGGAGGGATTTCCATCTGGGAGGCCGTCTTTTGCTCAGCATGGCGCCAACCTGAAATTCAAATTTCAGTTTCTCGTGACGAAGTTTCTGTCGGACCCAGTTTGGTTTTCTTTCACTTCACTACCTGGAAGGTGAGGAATTGGCTGATTTAATAGGAATGGAACCTACGAGTGGAATGTCTCGGTCTGGTGTTCGACAATTCCAACGTCTGATGGACAGAAACATTCTCGTCTATGTCGAAAGGTTTTGGGGAAGCAGGAGATGCGCATGCTCCATGCAACGTGCCCTTTTATTTTCATGATCTTAATGTGCTTCAGGAGACGATCGCTTCGGCCGCAGCTGTTTTGTATGGCACGTAACTTCGTAGTTCTGCGATGGCAGAGTTACAGTGGATGCAGGGGTCGCATGGGTACTTACTTCACCACCACGTCCGAGAGAGTAGATGCAATGTGAGAACTGACATTACGATTGCGAAGTCAGGGGCGGAGCTTTGCAATCTGCAATCTTTTGGGTGTTGAAGTTTGATCAACTCGTGGATAAAGCATGGGAGTATGGCGTTTAGAACATTGGGTTTGAACTGTTGGTACTTCCCGTACAGACAATCCCATATGTCACAGTTTTGCTTTCATGTTAGGGATTGAGGTCAATCATATAGTGTCCACTGCAGAGCTCTCGTTGCAGAGACCTATCAAAGTCGATTAGGTGTTCTTAATTCCTGTGATTTCCCTTTCACAAGGATGGCAGGCGATACTGATCTCGATTTAGCTCTGGCCATTGCTCTCGCTGAGGCTAGTGAGGAATATAGTGATGATGATTTCAAGCCGTCAAGTCGGCAGTTAGAGCTGCGCCAGGGTAACTTGATTGCGCAGTGTCGCAAACCCACAAAGTCCCGACCTAAACCCTCGAAAATTTCCAAGGAGAAGACGCAAAGGACTGAAGCATGCACATCCGGAGCTGGTGCTGCTTCCCGCAAGAAGAGTCATGCAACCAAAGGAAGAGAGGTCGTGGTTGACAAGAGGCACAAAAAAGCGAAATTGGATGTGATGAACGGAATTGGCCACCTCCAGCGGTCAGAAGGTGCTGGCAATGGGCTGAATGTCCAAACGAGACAACATTCAGTTTTCCAGGGTTCGGTCGAAAGAGAACAGGACAACGTGTTTGGCAGCTTCAAATACAAAGCTGCTCACTTCAAATGCCTCGATGTGCAGCCTTCCGTCCATGAGGTGGGAGAAGGGAATCCGCCTGAGAAGCTTGAGCAGGTTTCGCAGCTGGGCAGTACACATGCTCACCGTTCTTCTGCAGAGCAATCAGAGGATGAAGACTCGATTGTAACAGAAAACATAGGTTCGCCTGTGGCAACGCAATCTGACGGGCATGAAGTCAGTCAAGATGTGCCAGGGATCTTTGAAGACCGGGAGTTTCCTGCAGATACTATTGACTCAGGTGCATCGGCACCTGAGTCAATGGTATCTGCTCACAGTGTGGAGCAGGTTACAGGACTGGAAAATGAAAGTCAGTTCAGCGCTCTACTTCGTCTATGTACAGAAGAAAGTCCAGAAAGAGAGCAAGGTCTCAATCCGACTCTTGCTATGAAGAATTGTACAGTGCCTGGATCTTCAGATCTTGACGACGGTGAAGATGATATTAGTTACTTGATGACTCAACCTTGTGTGAACCAACCTGCAAAGACCGAGTCCAGTAGTGAAGAAATTCTTGTACCTTTTCAAGATATCACGAATGTTCCACGAGGAAGCGAAAGCGTCACGAGTGACTCTCTCACTGCAGCTGATAGCAAGCACTGCAGTTATTCCTCCGTAACCAAGGATCAGTCTGCTGCCTGTACACTGAGTTCTTCTCAAGTGTCAAATGCAAGAGGCTTCCAAGACGTAGAGTGGGGTACGCTTGCCATATATAATCATGAGGAAGCTCCCAGCCCATCGCGGATATGGGCAGCAGCAACCAGGGAGAGCGATCACACAGCGCAAGTTGAAACGTACAGGAAATTTCAAGTGGAGGATAATGAGGCGAGTACATCAGGCACCGATCATTTGTCTGTATCGGTCATGTGTCCTATATGTGATGAAGATTTAAGCCACATCTCCTTTGAGGAGCGCGAGAAGCATACCAACACCTGTTTGAACAAGCTCAATGAGCCTCAGGTAAGCCGTAACAGTATGGTTGACTTGATTTTGTTTTTTAACTGATTTCATAGCTTTGAAGCTAACCTTGAATCTCATTGCCAACAAAATTACCACTTTCTGTAGTATTGTGTCTCCTTCGCAATTCATTTATGGAGCAGCTGCGCATATTTTGAGAGTTTTTCTCTCCGTTTTTCTTCAATATAGTCATCATCTTTGGTCTTATCTCATTTTACCAGGAACTATTAGAAGCGTCGAAAGAACTTCATCCAATGCCACGCGATCCATCAATCTCTTTCGGCTGCGAGAAAGTTAAGCAATGGTTGAAAGCCCTTAACCTTTCAAGATATCTGGAATGCTTCAACCAGCATGAGATCGACTGGGATACGTTGCAATGGTTGACAGATGAGGTAAGATTTGGCAATCAACTTTGACAACCTCAAGAAACTCGCCATTTTCCAGCCCGCTTGCATTTATTCTTTCTAACCCGACAACAGCGCATAATTCTCGGTTGCTAAAGTCTCCGGCTAGAGTGATAGCTTCCCTACTTTCGTATTGTCAATCACCTTCGGGCGGACTTTCTGACTTTCTGCTAACTCCACGCGTCCGTCGCCATGAAGTTCCTCTGCAAGGGCTGGACTGCATGACAATAGCATCTGTACCCCTCTAGATCGCCGAGGACAGATCTCCTTTGCCTAGCTTCCCTTCTAGATTTATCGCTCACTGAATTCTTCAACGAGAAGGTTGTTCCAGGACTTGGTGGTGATTGGAGTAGCTTGTCTTGGTCCAAGGAGGAAAATTCTAGGTGCACTTCAAGATCTCAAGTCTGGAGAAACTTTCAAAAGGCCAATCTCCACGGAATCGCCTTCAAGTCTAGCGGAGGATGACACTCTGAAGATCGAGAAAGCGTGCGGTAAAGACAATCTCAACCTTATTACGAGGTTTTTCCCCATGATGGGTACTGGAAGCCGTAAAACATCTGTGACGAGCGTGGCTAAACAAAACAAGGTTGTTGGAAAAGATGGAAGGACTTCTGGAAAACTCTCAGGTCGACCCAGGGTTTCTACGCGCCCCAATATCAAGGGACTTCCCGCATGGATGTGTATCCCTGGCACACCATTTAGAGTGGTACGTAGCACACTCACCTTGGAAGCTATCTCATTAACCTGCAGTTTATTCTATTGAAACCAGCCTAGAGATGTTGTTGGAGTAGATTTGAGAAGTATGCATGGTCACATCGCCAAATCCTGGTTAGTTCAAGCCAAACTAGTTGTCTTTTACATTTTATTTCTAATGGTTTTGGCAAAAGGATTTTTGGTTCACCAAACACTTTTACCTCTTCGATTCCAAAATGAAACCTTGCTTGCTTGGTGATTGGCACTCTTTTCAGTTCAAAAAAAATATTGGAGTTTTTTTGAATTGAAAAATTTCAACTAAAGCTCATATTAGTTTTTTTATTCATTTGTTTTTCCAGGATGCCTTTCAACATCTAACTGGTGATTGCTCCCATTGGTTTCTCACCCATTTTCATACAGATCGTAAGTTCTTCTACCCGCTGATACACTGCTTCCCAGTCAACTGAAAGTCTTGTCTTGGTTATGCAGTCTGAAACTTGCGTTGTTCAGACTGGAAGGATTGTTGCACCCTCTGTCCGCAAAATCGATGCATGTTAGCGTTGTTTGTGGAGACAGGTCGAAGTCTGTCTTGTTACGTCTTACACACCCAAAAAATTGAGCTTTTTTCTTGTAAGTATTGAAGTGATTGTCTGACCTCTAATAATTGGACCATTGATAACAATACCGCTGCTCGAATAGCGGTGTCCAAGAACTAGTTGTAAATCCATATAATTGGCGGGTTGGATGTATACTTTCATTTAAGTCAGCGAAGAACTACTTTGGCCCGTATGAAGCTTTTTTATTTCTGGGAAAATGGTAGATTGTACTGAAGCTTTTTTCCGCTGCAGATTATCAGGGTCTCACGAGAGGTTTTCGATACGGCCGAATCTTTTGCTCGGAAATTACAGCACGTTTAGTGAACGCTAGAATAGGTGTGTCTTGGGAGAGACTGATGATAGTGCCACTGAACGAGAAATTTAAAATTTGTGGGGTGGACGTCACCTTCATCGATGCAAATCATTGCCCTGGTTCAGTCATGATCCTATTTGAGCCACCCAATGGAGAGGTAATTTGCTCTAACGCCGTCATACTCTACTTTCTGTCCGAGTTTATCGTATGTAGACGACACATCTGGAGCAGTAGTGATGGTTTGACCTTTCGGATGGTGTCATTGCGATGTCAGGCCGTACTTCACACAGGCGACTTTCGGTTCTGCTCAGCAATGAGAGACAACGCCTCGCTTCAATCCACAAGTGTCCACACTTTAATTCTTGACACAACATACTGTGACCAGCAGGTTTGAGTCTGATACGGAGAGACCACCTTAGCATGATGCTTTACATGTAATCAAACGTTTGGGGTATACAGGAAGTGTGTGCCTAATGCTTCTGGGATAAACAACCCAATGACACGCGTATTAACCCCAGTTGTTGGTATACGATTTGTTTTAAATATGACAAAAGTTTGGATGCGGTGACCCACTGTCGAAGAAAAGGGTAGTTGTTTGGTTGGATTCATCCGTTCTGGTTGAAATATTTTACAGAAATGGTTATGGACTCTTGCTAGATTCTTTTCCAACAGGGCACTGACACACTACACCTTGTTATCCAGTACGACTTCCCCAAACAGGAGGCCGTTATACAGTTTGTCATTGAAGCAATCCAGGCAGAGCTATTCAATCCCGAAACCCTGTTTCTCATCGGCACCTATACTATCGGTACGTATCTTTGTGCCATATAATATCGATCTTCACAATGTGATTTTTGTGGAAACAAAATTTACATATCCCTGTGGCAATTGTAGGGAAAGAAAGAGTGTTTTTGGAGGTGGGGAAAGTATTACAGAAGAAGATTTACGTGGGTGCTGCTAAAATGAAGTTGCTGGAATGTATGGATTTATCCGCGGAGGATTTGAAGTGGTTAACGTGTAACGATCAAGAGAGCTTTATTCACGTTGTTCCACTTTGGAGCATTTCCAGCTTCAAAAGAATGTCATCCATCTCAAGGCACTACCGTGTAAGCAACTTCTAAACTTTTCAGTGTATAATCACTCCGACAATGAACTAAGGTCAGGATTTTGAGAGTGTTTCAAGTTTTCTATCCAGACAGATTTAGCTATATAGATTCCCAAGAGCAACCCACGGAGCCTTGACGTCCATGGTGAGTCAAGGTTTGTTGATATTCCCAAGATCAACCTAACATTCAATTTCTACAGACCACAGACAACAGAGCTTGGCAACCAGCTCCTTGTCGAGCGTAGAAAGAAGTCCGCTAGTTGTTATAAGTTGTTCTTTGTCTGAAAATTTTGTCGGAAAATTCATTTGACATAATATGATGTGCGCTTTTTGTCTTGCCAGGGACGATACAAACTTTTAGTCGCTTTTTCTCCTACGGGTTGGAGCTTCGGCAGGGGAAAGAAGAAAACACCTGGCAAAAGACATCAGCAGGGCACGATGATCAGGTGATAGCATTATACAAATCGTCATCAGATCAGTATACTTTGAATATTGTCGTCAGCTATTTCTTTCTTTGAAGGATTGAGATCACAGCTGAAGGCTTGAATGTGTACTAGAGAAAGGAGCAATTATGAACACGGTAAGGATGTATCGTCACAGTAAGTGATGTGAGATCTTCTGATGGGTGCTCGAATCATATGCTCTTGAGAATTTGAAGAGCAGCTCACGTAATAAGTTTTTTGACTGGTTCCCGCCTCCACGAGACTGTCATTTGACTTCTGTCCTCGTATATTCCAATTTCCAGATATGACGTGCCTTACAGCGAGCACTCCAGCTTTTGTGAACTGAAAGAGTTCGTAAAGTTCATAGCGCCGGCGGACATTATTCCATCTGTTCCTGGGAAGTCAGGCACCAGTGCCGATGATATGATCGCAAGTCTGTGGAGTGAAGACAACTGAAAAGCCACTTCACCTTTACTAAGACTGACTCTGGGTTTACGGCCGCAAAAGGTTATGATAGTAGTCCGTACATACGCTGAGGTACTTACTACATTTTGGGAAGAGTTTCTGTGTACACCTACTGGGATCATGCTCTATGTGTTTTCAATTTAGCTGCTCAAATTTGATATTAACATTTGTTGTCATTGCTGGAATGTATTTCCCACATAATTTCTGCGTCCTCCGTTTGCTTTCAGGTCCAGCCAATCCAGGAGAGTTACGACGACTCCTGAATTTTCTGATTTTTCGGAGTCCTGTCGGGTTTTTCTGACTTGCCAAGGGGACAAAATATCAGAGTGAATAGCGGACGACAGCAGGGGAGCTTTAACAATGGCTTGCTTTCTTGAATCATACGGAAATCAGCTGTCTGTAACAGCGGGAACGAAGCGAAACGCGACAAACTATGCACCAGGTTTTCTTTGAGATGAACCTGAAGAAGCCACCGAGGGACATTCTGGCAATGCCAGATGCTGTATAAATTCAGAGAAGGAATTTGTGGCACCTAGTTTGCTCTCGCGTCAAAAGTTGTCTCCATCCTAGTTTTCGAGATCGCAGAATACATCTTGAATTGGAATAAACCTCTAATGTAGAGGATCAGGTTAAATCCAGTGTACTTGGAAACGTTGTGAAGCTCGGTAAAAGATTCAGGATTAAATTTAGCAAAATTGCTGGTCTAGTCAGAAAGATCCTGTTACAGGTCACAAGAAGTCTTCGCCTGAGCAGTCCGAAGTTGAGGTTCTTATATACAGGAATCGTGATTGCAAAATACTCGACTGTTCTCTCCCTTTTATTAATTTCATCTGTTTGAATACCAAGCATTAAAATGCGAAGATAATCCCATTTGTCACCTCATCTACTTGCATTTTGAATTCTTGATTGTCATTGTATATACAGCCGCCAGTTGTATCTGTAGTAATTAGAAATTCGAGCACTCGCAAGAAACCAAGCCGGTCGTTGGCAGGAAATGTGGGGAAAAACTATGAAGCTGATACCTGGAGATACAGCAAGAAATGTCCAGTATTGCGAGATTGTATTATAACAGTGCTGGGCGGACACACAGTTATTCATTATTGAATATCCTGGATACAATTTTTGTTTTCCAGTGAATTATAATCCTGCCACTTGACACCATAGGATGGTGACTGCCCAAGAAAGCAGGGCAACTATTTTCCACTACTTTTTCACAGGCTAAGATAATCTTATTGCATCTGGACCCAGTGGCGCACAATTACACCATTGCAGCTGAAGCAATCGACTATACATGGACAAAATCCCATCTGGTCTCTCAAAATTAAGCTTGACTGTATTTGTCATACAAGGTTAGAGTATGTTCCATTGCCAAACCTTGGATCTAAATCCAAGCATCCGAAGGTCATACATACGACTTCATCTGCAAAATCCTCACAGCTTGCGATAAGTTGCTCAACTGTAGCCACTTTGGCGATTGATCCAGTTGTAGCTCTTAGCTCTTACTATGCTTCATTGAAATTTCTCTTCACATCACACTGTTGAACAGAATAATACTCATGAGATGTTCTCATTATCATAAGTATTTTATCATTCTTCTACCTTTCTTTCACTTCAGGGCTTAAATATTTCATTAATAATTCATGATAAAGCCTGTAAAGCTATCTGATAAACTTCTTGATTGACATAGATTGGGAAAATTTTTACTTATGCACCTACCTTTCTTGTGGTCATGCCCTTCAATTATGTATAAACAATCGAGTGCACTTCAAACACAACCTATTTCCTTACATGAATCATAATCTAAACCTCTAGGTTATGTTAAGGAGCAGAATAGTAAGCAGAAAAGTTTTTTTTTACTGATTATCTGAATCTCTAGGCATCAGATCCTAAGTCAAGCATTTGAATGTTTTTGATACTTCATACTGAAGAAAAACAATTGGAATACAAGATTACCTAAATTAACTAGAAAATTCCAAAATCAATGCAACTCACCCTGATAGAACAAACATAAGCTTTTGATTTACCTACTTTGTTGAACAAAATACACAATTTAATATCCCAAACCTTTACACCAGTCAAATAATTGTTTCATCTAAATTATAGAAATATAACTTCGCACAAGTTGATACTACATCTTGGAGATACATATTTTGATATACGTTTTTGAAACTTTTCTTTTCTTTTAATTTAATATGTCGTGCATATAGGTATTGCCATATATCATATATCATTGACATGTTACACATGCACTTAAGTAACAAGAGTGTGCACACACAAAGGTATCACAATTCGCTTTCCTAGTTGGCGGTCAATTCCCTCTGACTCCCTGGTAGTCATATCTACAACTACATGCTATACACCTTCATGGGTGCCCTCTGACTCCCAAGTAGTCATATTTACAACTACATGCTATACACCTTCATGGATGCCCTCTGACTCCCAGGTAGTCATATCTACAACTACATGCTATACACCTTCATGGGTGCGCAAACCAGTACGCCGGGTGTTATGTCGCCCCATTATTAGTCGCATATATGCAATTCATCACATGTGAAGATCAAGTCATCTATCACTCCGAAGTACATCAAGAACAAACCCATTGTTTAGTAGGAACAACATTGATAAGTGGAATCAAGAATGACATGTGCCATCCCCTTGGACACCTATCACACACCAACATATTGGCCGCCTAATCAACAGACCCACATAACATGCACCTCAAGCCAACACATATGATTACCAAGCTTGGGTTCATTTAAACATACACATTTGAAAAATGACATGGCGCATAGTTGTACACATGATTCTTCCAAACAACACCGTCATGACACTTCAAGATGGAAACTCCAGAAGATAACACTTCTTGCACTCGCAAGATAGTGCATCCCGTCGTCACATCCAATGTAGTCGTTGCAGTCTGCTGTAAATAGAATTAGTTCATCACATGGATCCTACAAATTGATGGTCGATAAACTTCTCCCCAGATGATCGCAACATATCCATATGTTGAACAATTGCAAGGTTTTTAAATGCTACAGGCATAACTCTCCAAAAGAACGTTGCACGTTGAAAACACATTCTTTCTCACAAGTTCGGATCATCAAGGTTCATCATCTCGCTAGACTCACGATGAATTGTTGCCAACAAGTCTGAATCTCGGCCGTACAATAGAAAATATGTTGAGAACAAAGCCAATGATGCTTGACTACTGAATCGATATGCCATGGCCAGCCATGGTAACTAAATATCTTAATCTCCAAGATATCATGCCATACTCAGATGATCAGATACTTGCGCAACGTACTTTTCACCGTTTGTACAACAGGTTCTGTAAGACCAGAGGTTGTATGTGTGAAATAGCATTAGAAGTAGCTTAGTTATGACTAAATCTAGCTAATTATAACTAAGTTTATCAAATTATAATTATGTTTAGCTATAATGTCTATACTAAGCAAAATAATTGGAGAAGTTCTAAAAAATCTGAATGAGCATTTCTATTCTGTCTCCTACAAAAATATAGAATCCAAGAAATTTTTTGCTTGATTTCATATTTAGTTTTGATTGGTTTGACTAAGTAATGGAGATTTCATTTCTTAGACTAAATCTAATGTTAATTTAGTGGCAAGTGGAGATTGTAGATGTTAGATTGTCACAAATGGCATGTTGCCACTTCAATCTAAAGATTAGTAAATATCTAGAAGGTTTAAGAAGCCAATGACACGTTATTGCGTATTGATAACTAGTCAAACTTACTAGGATTTGTCTTTGTAAAAGTAAATTAGATAGAAATTATTATTTGTTAATATGGTAAATTCTCAAGTATTATATATAGAGAGTTAGGTAAGAGTATTTCAAGCAAGTTTGGAGAATTAATGTGTAGAGATTTGATTCATATATGAAAGAGTCACAATTTTTAATATCTTGGAGTGTCAATGTGTGTGTTAATCAGAACAATACATTGAGTGATTGTGTGAGAGTTTGTTTAAACTATGAGCATGAGGAATAATCCTAATCTTTTCAAACCATAATGAGCTATTGCAAAAACATCTGAGGTAAACCTGAGTGAGAATCAACCCGGTGTAATAACAAATAAATACCAAAATGGAGCATAATGGTTAAGATCCGAACCCACGAGGATAGAAATAACAACAGAGAATAAAGTAGTGTCACAAATTAACATTCTATTGACAAGTTTTACTTCTCAGGTACATGCACTCTTAGAAGCACTGCAATTGCTAAGGCCGAAGACGGCACAATGCAAGGTACGATCACATTCAAATCTTGAAATTCATCCAAAAAATCCCCAAAGAAGCCTCACGCGACTCTGCAATTGATATTTAAGGGGAAAATTTCCTAAAATTACACACTCATCCGGTTGCATCGAGCTTCCAATGTACAGATTTGATTAAATCCTGAGCTACACATGCACCAGTCAGATTATTGGAATTGAATTCTCTACTTCAAATGTGGTATCCTTTGACAAACTGAAGCAGCTCGCGCACGGTGACAAAACGCACTTGACAAAACGGAAACACACCTCTAGCTTGTCCAATTTCATCCACTTCAGGTCTGGATCCCCCATTCCACATAAGCGCGAAGACATCGTTCTACCCTCGCGCGTAATGCAACATTCGCTTGCTGTTCCAACTGCTGGACTATCGCCTCCGTCTCCGCCAACTTCTCTTGAAACGCGACCAACTGCTTCTCAACTGCCGATAGTTGAGAACGCAATTTGCTGCAATTTGCTTCTAATTTCTTCCTATGCTCTAACTCCGAAGTGCAGGCAGCTTCGCAATCCTGCAAGTCCTTCGCCTTCAGAGCCAATTCAGCACCATGCGATAAACCTTCATCTTGCTACGAGAATGCACACTCGCTTTTCTTGTCCGCGTAGGAGCTGGTCTTCTGGCACGCAATCTTGCATGCTGACCCACCATCTCCGAAGCCGAAGACTTCTGCAATTTCCGTCACTTCTTTGATGGTCGTTCTTCAATGTCGTCTAACTTGTCCACTTTTTCCAAAGGCGGTGAAGGTTCAGTGTTGTACTCCTCACAAGCAACTTCATTGCCTTCCAACATTTCTTCGTTGTCAGCAATTTCCCTCTCGAGTGGGAATTTTTTGTGCTCTGGTGCAGTCAACAATCCCATTCCTCGGTAGAAATTGATGAACATATAGTTCATCGATCCCCCAAATATTTCTTCGGCGTTCTTGCGCGTAGTACTCTAGAGAATGCGAGTACAATGAATCGGCTTCTCTGACACCGCGCGTCTCACGGACCCGATCTCCCATGTTGTCATGTAAGTCGTTCTTAACGGTCGCAGAATGTGCATCAACGCCACCGCCACATTACGTCTCAATCAATTGCGGTACTCCGTCGTCCACCATCCGTTCTTATGTAAGCAAGGTGTCTTGAAAAGCTTCGTTAAGGTCTTCTTCTCCGCCTGGATCACCTTCAAACTCCGGCTGTCCTAGATGTAATCGCAGTCTTCACTTGCGCACGGCCCCAAGACTTGTGCCCAGTGTTCAATTGTCCAGCTCTCCGGATTACCTCGAAGTCCTTCAACGTCCGACGCGCGTCCTTCTTGCCACTCCTTCACGATTGCTGCGGAAACTCAATTCCAATCCCACAACAAGAAATCGACCTTGGCATCTATCAATTCTTGCCGATAAGCTCTCAATCTTAATTCCAATATCTTCAACGCCGACAATCAAAGTCCTGAAGAGCGCCTCATCGCTGAAACTCAATTTCTCACTTGCAATTCTCTCTAAGCTTCCAATTCGCAAATGCATTCTCGCGAAATGTCGACGCAGAACTCCCGTTTCTGCTAATGCACTTCGACGCCCTAATCGCATCATGAACTCGTGCAAATTT